TTTTGACGAAACAAAACAGGACATAACGCGAGGTAACTTCCCCGGGGGGACTCCTCATATGAAAGGGGTGGGGATGATTGTCGGAAATTTTGAATTAGACCCCTATAGGAGACCGATCTCGGCGTGGCCCAAGCTTTTTTTGACCCCTAAAAGAGACCATGTTTCATTGCACTCTTGTAAAACCATGGACAAAGACGTCGTATTTAAGTATTGATGTTATAGAAAACTTGGCTTTTATGAATGGAGTAAATAAAACGAATTAAAAACAGTACATATCAAATGTATCTGCTTGGAGTTATGAAAACTGGGTTAGCAAACATTTTGTAATTTTTCTCAACTTCCCCTATCTAATAGGTTGTTCTGACTGTGTTGTTTGCTTATGTCGTTTTTCTTTTGTTTGTTTTGTAGATAGGGGCACGCTTGTGTAGAAGTGGATGTACACACTATTACTATCTTACCCCCCACCCTACTCCCTATTTTTCCCTGTCCACAATTCTTTGGTTAACACAAGTGACAGTTATTTGAAATCAGCGCGCGCCTGAAGCTGGTTTCGGTGCCGTTTAGCAGTTTAACAGTAGTTTTATATATTGGTCACCTTGAGAAGAGTTTCCCGCAGAGCATCATGTACAGCTCTGAGATGGGACAATGTTCTTACGATTCGCAGAGTCTGCATCGTCCAATATCGTATTATATTCTCGTTTCATTTGCTTTGGCTAAACGGATCAATCACCCTGATCCGGGCTGAGACAGAAAGGTACGATATTGTTCGCCGTTCTAAGGTGACCACTAAGACTTTGGCCACGGGAACAGGCTCTTTGGAGTCAAATAAATTAGCTGAGGCAAAATTGCAGGTGAACTTTGCAGACTTTGACTCGGGTCAAGACTTCATTTTTTTCTGGTGTGAAAACAAGGCTAAGGTCATCCGCCGACCGTGTGACTTTACATCCGGGAACTTGAATAAGACGAGTATAAGAGAAAGGTCTAGAGGTGTTTATCTGGCAATAGGCTGAGTTTCCGAGGTATTCGAGGATATTTCGCTTATGTTAAACGTGAGAAGATTATGCGTGGTTGTGGATAGTCTTATCAGTGTCTCAAAAGTGTGTGATTGTGTGATTTCCGCATGGTGTGTTGTCAGGTATGTGAGCGCGTGGTTGAACTGCGGTTTCGCCAAAATATTCTGTGCCAGCCATTAATATTGTTTGTACCTTGGAAAAGCAACTCTGGCCTCAGGAAAATTGTATCTAGGTCTAGTTTCAGCGGGCTCTAATGGCATTGCACCAGAGGCCGGTTTTTGCAGATAAGAAGGTTGATAACTGTGCACTATAGTTTCATTCAGTTTGTTGTCTATTCCATACGGAATCCTGTTATTTATCGGACCGCGAAAAAAGTTAAGTAGTGTTTGGCTAACTATTTATTAAGTTGTTATGTAAGCCTTAACCAGGCACTCTTTCGCTGCAGTTCATTTCTAAACTGAAATGACACCGGTTTGAAACTTCGCGAAGTCAGTTTACTGAATAAATGTTCTAAAATTTGCGTCATTTCAAATTTGGACTCGTTGGAACTTACTGCCCGGCGTCAGATAAAGGCTTTTAATCGGCCTTTAAACGAGTTTTGTCGTTTTAAATTGTTAAGTAGTATTTTGCTAACCCAGTTTTCAAAAATCCAGGTATATATATTTTTATATTTTTTTGCGTGCAACCCTAAACGAGACCTTCACAGCTAAATATGGTGGCGTTTTGCCCAGAACAGCGTAAGTGAGATTTACACGCCTAAGCGAGACGACAAGCATCCCCACCCCTTTCATAAGCGGAGTCTCCCCCCCCCCCTGCCTCCCCCGCCTGCCCGGGTAACTTTGAAAACATAAACAGCAGCGTCACGCTTGACCAAAACAAAACGAGATTTATTGCGTGACGTCAACCTTACCATAAAGTGGCGTGTTGAAAAGAACTCACGTGATCTTGTCGCAGCCGGCGAAATCAACATGGAGAGGAGACGTGCGTTTGTTCTTCTCTGTTTTATTTGCGTTTTTATAGTGTGTCCAGCATCGTTTAGTGCGGTCTCGCGAGACATTTCTTTTCCAGATTTGTCGCCTTACAATTCTGTTCATGGCCCCGAACAAATACACATCGCTTATGGAAATTCTGCGAGCGAGATGACAGTTATGTGGTCAACGTCTTCTGTCCAGGAGCTTTCTAGTTCGTTTGTTCTCTATGGTTTAGCGCCAAAGAACTATTCTTTGAAAGCCGAAGGCAAATTTGCCTTGTTCACGGAAGGTAACCCTGATGGACTGCATTATATACATCGTGTTGTCCTTCAGGTAAGCACTTCCCGCATTTTATTTAGTTAGCTCCGTTTTAGAATCGAACTTTTATGAAAGGTTCTTATGTAACCCTGTAACGAAACTGGTTTGGGCTTGGCAGTCTGAGATCTCCAAAAACCAAATAGTTGCTGAGTCATAAGTTACGATTAGTCAGCGATCCTTAATCTTCGTAATACGACGCTATCGCCTTTAGTTTTTCTTCTGCCTAGACGAAAAGAGAGCTCTATACAATGTCAATACCAGTAAAGCAAGTTTGGAATTATCATATGTAAATGATTGGGGTTTAATATTCCACCTGAAAGTAGATTCATGCGATGAAATACAACAGAACACTGTAAACATAATTTTATACTGTAGTTTAGTTTAGTTCACCACAGAAAATAAAAGACCAGAATACAGAAACTACACAAAAGCAATGAGGTGAGGAAGCCCAAAAAGAAACCATACGACTTAACCCATTCGCTCCTGGAGATTTTGCCGAAAAACGCGTTTTGAAGCTAGTCGAGTGGTTTTCTGGTCACTGTCGTGCTATAAAGAGCTAAAACTTACCACAAACCGGTTTACAGGTCGTACACTTGGCGGCCTTCTGATCCAGATGCAAAATATCAGCTTGCGAAGTTCGGGCATGCGCAGAAAGCAAAATTTTGGGTTTAAAAGTGACAGAGCAGTCTTGACTTTTACTTTTCGCTTTCTCTCCTCCCTTCTTTTTTCGCTTTTCTTGCCTCATTTTTTTTTCTCTTGCTGGGCATTTAGTAGGCTTCATTTTGGTGGGAAGAGTTTTTAGGAAAGCTTTTAGGATCTTAGGATTAGGTGAAAGGAAAGGTAGGTGGGTAATGGAACAAGATTTTCATGGAGATTTTCAGGTCCTTGTCACGTGGTTTTTTGCTTCTTTCTCCGGTGTCCTTGACTAAATTGTGCTCATTCTGGTATGGTTTGAAAGATATCTTCACTCTGCACACGTGTGTGAAGAAAGTTGTCCTTGACCGTTAAAACTGATGGCGTCACAAAGGGTAGAAAGGACCTGGATCCGCACGGGCGGTTACGGGCGGTTCAGGGGCGAATGGGTTAAAGATACTGGGCTCCCTCAGAGTATAAAAGTTTAAGTTTACGTTACAAGGCCAGGATGGAGTGTATACAAAGTAATAACAAAAAAAATGACATTGATAAAAGGTGGATAACTAACAGTAGGAGGTGTTGTATTACTTAAAGGTTAATAGGCCGAGTGGACCACCCAGCATGAGCATAAGTATAGGGTGGTCCATGTACTACAGATATGCTTTTCCCAGGCGTAGTCAATCAATAGAAATCGATTTTAGAAATCAATCAATATAATAGATATTAATCAATATCATCTGCAAATTGTTATAGATTGATATAAAAGTCACAGAAAAACAAATAATGTTATTGATTGTTACCGTTTGACAAAAGTAATCGATTACAAACAATAGTGTAAAGGAAATGAAAGGATTATGTAGATCAGATATTCTGAGCATGATGTGTGCTATTTGGTAAACTACACTGACACCTACCCCTTTGCTTTTCCCGTGAGATTCTTAGGTCCACATTTGCACACAAATGTAAAACTAAGTAGCCAAAAGATCAAGGACCATTTTCATCAAGTCCCGATAGCATTTTGGCTCAAAGCCAAATTTGGCCCAAAGCCAAAAAAATCTAAAAAATAAAAGCATAGGTCCTTGGGTCCAAGCTAACAAACCAGTTCAAGTTGCTAGTTAACTGATAGGTTTTTTGAACGTAAACACAGCAGTTTTACCAGGGATCTAACCTGCGATCAGGCGTTTTATTGGGGGGAAGGGATAAAAAAGAACGCCTGATACATTTTCTTCACCAGTGGTCTGCTGCCTCCTAATTAAGGCATCTGTCAACATTTGTGTTATATGTCAGATTTTAGGGGAATTTCAAGCAGTTTGCAATGAAGGCAGCTTAAATGGAAATGTATTTTATTATCTACTTTCCAGGCAAGCGGTGAATGTTAAGTTGATAGGGTAGTCGTTAGTGAAAACCTCACAGATTTTAAAGACCAGTTTAGCACATCCTTGGAGACCCAGGGCAGATAAAGGGGGCGAGGGAAAGTCTAAACGGGCGGAGAAATACGGCACGAAGAAAAGTAAAGAACGGCGAGAAGAGCCTCTGGGGACAATGTCTTACCAGACCAGTTCCAAACGGTCGCCGCCATTCTGGCTTCTGATTGGTGCCAGAAAACTTGTGTTTTTCTGGCACCAATCAGAAGCCAGAACAGTGGCGACCATTTGGAACTGGTCTGGTAAGACATTGTCCCCAGGGGCTCTTCTCGCCGTTCTTTACTTTTCTTCATGCCATATTTTTCCACCCGTTTAGACTTTCCCTCGCCCCCATTATCTGCCCCTGGGTCTCCGAGGATGAATTTAGCACTGCTGTCATTGCAAATCTTGCCTAACCGTTGGTGTGTGGTACCTTTCAGGTTTGGCAGGTGTTAAAAGGGGAAGGGGAAGGGGAAGGGGGAATAGGCCATTTGCACTAAGAAGTCATGTGACATCGTTTTTATGAAAATGAAAGTTAAATGATTTTGCCTACGAAAAACGATTAGTGGGTCATATCTTAAACAAAATAATAGTGATTCGGTTTTTCAAACCCACACCATTTTCTTAAAATGGGTAAGTTCATAGCTGTTCATGTGACCAAAATGTGATTTTTAAAATTATGAATTACCTCTTTCTGAACACAAATTTTGCACTTAAACTTGAAGGAAAATGTTGAAAAGACGATGTGGTAACGTTTACAGCACATCTGAGCGTAACTATCAAACGTTTGACAAGATATAAGCAAAAAGTAGTTTTGGATGCCATGTTGGCGGGCAAGAGCATGCCCTCCAACATGGTGGCCAATACAAATCTTACTACTTTCAATTGTTGAAAACTCAAAGTGCCATAAAATATCTCCCTTAAATGCGTTTCCTCTCAAATTTCAGCTGTGAGATAATTTTTATGTGCTCTGTCAATTTTTTGCATCAGCAAGATTCCAACTCATTGTTTAAAGGAAGCATTGGTCACATGACCTCTTAGTGCAAGAGGCCTATTTTGGCATGCGAAGGAGAGAGGAAAGGAATGCCTGCAAGGAGACCATTGTTTTCTCCATTTTCCACGTTCAGATTCTGAGCATGAAAATAGTGATTGGTTGGTCAGAATTAATTAAATGTCAATCTTCGACCTTTTTCCGATTGGTTGAAAACAACATCACGCCATTTGAGTAACTAAACATATGTTGTTAGTGAAGCGTGATGAGATTTCTCTCTGGGAATTCATCGTTAGAAGGCATCAATAGCTTGAAAGGAGAATAGCAAAAAGCAGTTAAAGAACCCTATGAAGGAAAATTAGGGCTGTCAGCAGATGAGTTTTACTGACTGGTTTTGAAAAGTATCATCTCCCAACAGCTTGTCAGTTTTATTTGCCAGAAGAAAGAAAGGAAATATCATCCTGCCTGTGTGCTTGTTATCTGCTGTTTGACCCGCATTATCAATGGCAAAATTATTGAAGATGAAGCTATCTATAACCTTTGGCGATTTTTGGTTGAGGTCTTCTTCTTGCTGGTTATAAAACCGCCAGGAACTTACTTTAATAATTAATTGCTGCCTTCTTGCAAATCTTCGAAGTTCAGCTCTTCTTTCCCCACTTCCAGCATTCTTTTGTGCAATCGTCCTGATAGAAATTCAAAAAGTGACGGCAAAGTGTTTTAATTTTTCTTAGACAAACATTTCATTGAAAGTTGCGAAGAGCCACTTCATTTCTTATTAAATAGTTTTCCTGCCTGATTCCTTCAGCAACAACTTGAATAGATTTATGCTGGATTTTATGTAACTCGGCATGTGTCGTTGCAACTTTCAAGGAAGATTCCTTCAATGGACGACCGCATTTGAACTTTTTTATAGTACCTTCACTTTAGATTTCTTGTTTTAGGAAAACAAAAGAAAAACAGTGCGAGAAATACGACTAGAATACGTGCATCGCGGCCAGACTTATTTGACAGCTTGTCATTCACAGTTGCCTTATTTTTCCATTATTTTTGTTATTTTTTTAAATTAGTGAGCAGGATGGTGGCAACAATGGCTTCCTTAGAGGCATTCCCCTTCTTCCTCCTCCCTCATGCACGGTCTCGCGCCTTAAGTCCCTTCCCTTTCGAACGCCTGCCATGCAAGCTAGTTCAAACCTTCAAGCCAAACAAATTTTAATTCATTGAAAACAATAGTGGGACAACAGAATTCTGTATTTTACTGGAAGCAGGAACAAATCTTTTATGGTCTTTCAAAAGTGCAGGGGTAAAATCATCAGTAATTATTGGCTTACACAGCTGAAATCGATCGGGAATGAGCAGGAAAATCAAAGACAAAGCTCGTCAAATTTTAAAAATTCTGCCTGGTCCAAGCAAGAAAGCGTCGAAGAGGAAATAGCAGATTTCCCTACCGGTGACAAACAACAACTCGTCCTTTATCAGCTTTCAAAGTTTTTCTCTGTACATTGTTGACTTGATTCACCAAAAAAGGTTCATTTTTGTCTTTAAGTTAGAACTAGCTTAAGCTAAGGTTACTCGTAAATGAATATTCCTTGATCATCTTGTGGTTTCTGTGATTGAAGGGACGAAGGTGACAACACCTATCTAATTGCGCCAGAAGTCAGATATTTTGCTTGTAACCAATCAGTGTTCAGCTTGGTGGGCTCTTTTGTTGTTCGACCAATCAGACAAAAGTCCAGATTCTGGACTACAGGCAGACGACATGGAAAGTAATTAATGTATCAGGCATTTTTTTCCTCTCCCCTCCAAAACAAAAAGTGAAGAAGGACCGCCTGATCGCTGGTTACCAATGCTCTTATAACCAGGACTTTCCAGAAATGGGCCCAACTGCAAGCTTTGTCAGTAATTATTTAATGCGTTGATGCATTCATGGCTATTTTTTTGCAGGGTTTGATTCCTGGGAAGAATTATTCATACCGTGTTCAGAGTGGAAGTAACATCAGTGAAGGATATGAATTCACAGCTAAAAGAGACAATGAGGTCAGTTGCTCAATTAATTAAAATTCTTAAGTAGGTGTGCATGTGATTGCATGTTCCCTGAGCATGGGGATTTTATTACATGTATGACCACGTAAATCATGAGACAATAATTGTTTTTCCTTAGTCCCCTCACTCTTGTCCATACATTCCATATGTTTTACTTTCCAGTTAGGAGAAGTCTTTTTTGTGCTTGCTGATTGTTTCCTTCATTCTCATTATTAAGAAAAGATGGAGTGAAATGCACCCATTCACATTTTAAGTCAATAGACAATAAAATAGACAATAAAAAGTAAAAAATCTCATTGTGTAGTTTCAGAAAATATCCATATTCCCCCACAGAAGGGATTGGAATTTCCTTGGGGGTGGGGGGTTATCAAAGGCCCAAAAATTTAAGTGAGTGTATGAAGCTTGACTGGAATTTCCAGAGGGGTGGGTGGTCTAAGGAAAAATCCCTTCCATGGGGGAGGTATGGATAGTTTTTGGAACCACACATTGTTCCTATCTAAAATGACACTAAAAGTAAATGTTCCTAAAACTGCAAATATTTCCACACTTCCCTTCATTCTCATAATAAATTGAGAAAAGAGGGATTAAAATGCACAAGTACACATTTTGAGTCTTCACAGTCAATAACATCACTGCAGCTCAACTGACAGATAACCAATAACATTGTGACTTAGTTGACCAATCAGGTCAATAGCCAAAGTTAAATGCCATAACAACTGGTGAGAAACAACTCACTACTGATAATTGAATAATGATGGTAAATTTTAAGCTCAGTGAAGAAATGAGAAATGATGTGATCAACATGTCATGACCACAGGACAAAGAAAAAATCTGAGTCACCAAAAGGAATTGAACCTATGACCTTCCCTACACCAGTCAGATGCTCTAACCACTGAGCTATGAAGGACTCTTGGCAAGCTGGTCATGTATGACATGCATCCTGCATACTGCTAGGATCAGCAATGTGTAGTTCTAGAAAATATCCATACCCCCACCCCCACCCCCCACAGGGGGAGGTAATTTCTGAGGGAGTGGGGGGTGGCTTTTTGAGGTGTTTTACGGGGGCTCAGGGTAAGATTGGTGAGTTATTAAAATGAAACAGCTAGCTGCCCCGTTGAGCAAGCTGTCAGTTATTTCTGATGATCTTTTATGTATGGACGACTGAATGTGTTTTTCACGTCTTATGTGATAGGATATGTAAATATGCAAGTGTCATCGCCTCCACATTAATGTTCTTAGTGACTACCCTTAATTGAAAATTGAGATTATTAGACACCTCATTAACATGAATAAAATGTTTTTTCTCTGCTGTTTTATCACATAAACAATTATCTTTGGCATAATAGTATAGTGCAACAGTACTTTTGTCTGAAATATTCCTGCCAGGGGGGTCTCAACCAAGTAGGAAAGTTTCTGAAATTCCAGGGGGGGGTGGAAGGGGGTGTGACAATCACTCCCTAGAATGGAAGTTCTAGGGGGTGGGGGGTCAAAGGTAAAATGGAACTACACAATGTTGAAGTCATCATGTGTGTGATAAATAAAGAGTGATAGTAATTAATAAATAAAATAATAATAAATTGATTTTTGGAGCCTTGGCCATCATTTATTATTGTTTAATTTGGGGAAGAAATATTTCAGCATGCTCCCAGTGCAGGGAACTTTTGTAAGGCTGAAAGCAAGTGAATCCTAGCCTTTCGCCACATGAAGTTTTTGTAAAAACAGTTTTGTTAACAAATTTACACTTGTAAAATTTTTACATTTGTAAAGAAAAAATCTCATGGTGCTATTATAGTAATGCATTAGTCAATTCCACCTGCCCCCATTTGTCTGTAAGAAAGTCCCGGGAAAATTACAGACAAATATATGGAAAATCTAAAGCAAGCCTCTGGAGAAATTTAAGCACAGGTACGTCGTCAAAATTTTTTAGGACAATCCTTTGCATTGTAGCTTTAGTTTACAATTGATATTTTTTCAGAACAGCGGTTTTACGGAAATTCTCCGACATTAGATTCTCATACAAACAATGCAATTTCTCACGCGTTTGCCAAATCGTCAAGATGGCGTCTATAACCGTGACAAGGTCTATTAACCCATTCGCCCCTGAACCGCCCGTAACCGCCCGTGCGGATCCAGGTCCTTTCTACCCTTTGTGACGTCATCAGTTTTAATGGTCAAGGACAACTTTCTTCGCTAACTTGTGCAGGGTGAAGAGATCTTTCAAACCATACCAGAATGAGCACAATTCAGTCAAGGACACCGGAGAAAGAAGCAAAAAACCACGTGACAAGGACCTGAAAATCTCCATGAAAATCTTGTTCCATTACCCACCTACCTTTCCTTTCACCTAATCCTAAGATCCTAAAAGCTTTCCTAAAAACTCTTCCCACCAAAATGAAGCCTACTAAATGCCCAGCAAGAGAAAAAAAAAATGAGGCAAGAAAAGCGAAAAAAGAAGGGAGGAGAGAAAGCGGAAAGTAAAAGTCAAGACTGCTCTGTCACTTTTAAACCCAAAAACTATGTCCAAATTTTGCTTTCTGCGGATGCCCGAACTTCGTAAGCTGATATTTTGCATCTGGATCAGAAGGCCGCCAAGTGTACGACCTGTAAACCGGTTTGTGGTAAGTTTTAGCTCTTTATAGCAGGACAGTGACCAGAAAACCACTCGACTAGCTTCAAAACGCGTTTTTCGGCAAAATCTCCAGGAGCGAATGGGTTAAGCAGAGTACCAAGCTTTTTGAAAAAAATCCACTTTTCAGCATAAAACAACCAAATCTGTCTATTTCATGTAAAATCAGGTGAAAAAGTTGGTAAAAGGCCATTTTTAGGTTTTTTGATTAATAGACCGTTGTAAAGTTATATGACTTATATGTTATGAATAGTTTTATAAATATGAAAGGATGTTCTTCAAATAATATCAACAGAAATTTGATTCAATAACCAAAAAACGGCAATTCTGGCTCGATAAGCAATGTAGAAATGCGTGCATAAAATCGAGAACATGCCTTTACAACCCTCTTCAATCTATTCCTGTCCTTGACAGATGAGCCAATCTGCTTTTTTCCCAGTAAAACCTTCTGTGTAGTTATATTCTGACAGGAAACCGCGTGTCAAAAGCTCGGGAATGGCCCTGGGGTGGGCAAATGCCCCCCCCCCCCACCCCCCCGGGCAGTGCAAAATGTGCAAATGCCCGACCCCAGGACTGACAAGGCGGGCAAATGCTCCGCAGTACCCCGGGGGTGGGTTGCTGGGCACAGGTGGAATAGCACGATGACGATATTTGACTACAACTACCAGAATTCATTTCGGTTTTGCTTTGTTATTTAAATTTGTCAATCCCGCTGAGGATTAAAGAACAATGGCCTTAATTTGCACAAGAAAACAACAAACTCAAGGATTCTGTTAGTTGTAGTAAAATGACGTCATCGTGCAATTGTCCTATTGACTGATGCATAAGTTATAGATACATCTTTGCGCTACCGTACTGTTTTTATGGGCCACACCTCTTTTGTGAGGGGAGAGTTTACAGAGGCGATGCGCTTTGCGTTAATTGTAGCGCAGAATTATTTAATAGGAAAACATGATTTTTAAAATTTTTGCACCGAAGGGTAAAGGTTGATGATCTGCCAACTACGTTGACAATGTCAGCCAACGTCCTTGCGAATCGAGTCGAAGACCGCACTCTATAAAATAATGAGTTACAACTACCGAAATCGCTAGTGAGTTACGACAGAGGCAATAGAGGCGGATTTTGAGATTTAAAGTTTTGCCATTGAGGCCCGCCGAGTAATACAAACATCATGAACGTTTAAGGTAACCTTCTTGAATCGCCCTTTTTAGCAGAAAAGATTCTTGACCGATTTCTATGATTTGTAGCTCCGTTAACGAAGAATGGTGGATCTCTAAATGAACAAAATTTCTCATCGGTGTTTGACCTTGATACCCTCTGCGCACTCTTTCATCAGCTGTTTATGGCGCAATCCACCATATATCTAAGTAGTTGCTACGGTGCGCCGGTGTCAGCTTAAAAAATTACCGCAAAAGTGGCAGAGTCGAGATTTTCAAAGTGTCCCTTACTAAAACACTTTTGCCAAGAAAAAAAAGAGGTGAAAAATATGGAAATCATCATAAATCATACCGTAATAGAATTCTGCGCGCGCTAATTTTAAAATAGGAGGAGACTATGCGTTGACAACTGATCAAATATTTTCGCGAGAATCAAAGCAGTGTTTCTTGATCTTTTCTTTCTACAAGCCTTTATTTTATTTTATGTTATTTTATTTTTGCTTTGAAGAGTTTATTATTTTCAGAAAAAATATCATTTAGTCTCACTATCGTTTTCATGACTTTCGATGATAAACATTTTTTCTACGATGCTTACATCACTTATTACATGTAAATCGATCAAATGAACAAAACAGGAAAGAAGGAAAGAAATGCCAAGAAACTGTAGGCACTTAGAAGAGTCGTCGTCAAGGCGAGTGTTTCGAAAACGTTAACAAGTGTTGTGAAGATCTGGAAATTGAGTGGGAGTTTAAATTTGATACAAACCTTGCCTCAGGCAGCGACTGATTTCAAAAAAATTGCAACTTTTTGTTGTTGAGTTGAACGTTGCGTACTAAAAGCAGGAAATGTCAAGGTCTTGCCGCGAAGAAAATTTACAAGTGGTGTAGTAGATTTCTTCTGCATTTCGTACTTGATTTCAAGGAAAAGGAATCAGATGTGAAACTGATTTGAGATGCAGGTTTTCAACTTCTTTTGTTGAAACGTAGTTTCCATCCCAGTTTTTCTTGGTTATTTTTTTTTTCATCAGTATGTGTTTGATTATATCGCATTTATTTCTGCTTGATAAAGTGAGTTCGTCTCAATATGAAATATTTTTTTTGGTGTTTTGTTGTTGTTGTTTGTAATAACTTTTACAAATGTTTGTCACTTTTTAACACGAGTTGCGCACGTGAACAGGCGGTATTGTCCAATCACGTTCGACTTCTCTTTGTTTGTTTGTCATTTATGGGTTTATAGAGGGCGCGCCTCTTGAGAAAAACAACAGTCTACTTGTTTCTTGGCTAAAACGTGGTGCAGCGCAGAAAAATGGAGAAATCTTCTTTTGCGAAACTTATTGACATCAGGAAGGAGCGCAAGCCGTCCTGCACTCTTTGTAGCAATCATGGAATACGTTCAAGCCTCAAAGGACACAAGCATAATTGTCCTTTCTTGCGCTGTCATTGTGAGCGATGTGTCAAGGGACGTCTTAAAAGGGACATCATGAAACAGCAAGTTCGTCTTCGAAGAAAACAGATGAAGGACATTGTAAACCATCCTTACTGTGGAACTCCTGTAGAATCACTAGGTAAATTTCAAAGCTTTAATTTCGCTGTTCTTTTTTGTTGTTGTTCTTTTGTAACGAACGTAGTTTTCTTATTTGCTAATTTTTGTTTTTTGTTTCTTTCGTTTTTCCTGTTTTGGCAAAAAAGAAAAACATTGTTAAGTTTACAAGAACTTGTCCTCTTTACAACAGCAGAGGTTCCAAACTGACGAAATTTCTATTAAGCTGATTTATTTTTATACCTTAATTAACGGTGCTATTTTTAGCGTGCTTAATAATTTTAAAACAGCGCTTTAGTTTTTTAACTCGCAGAAAAAGCAACATAGTGTTTTACCGTAATTTCTGTTTACTGCTCAATGTATTTTTTTTTAGTGGTGTTTCAAGTCTCTTGTTCACTTAAGTTAACATTTTCGTTTGCATGTTTTTGCAGTAAACATATCTTCGTCGGTTGTGAAAAACGAATCTTCGTTGAAAGAAAACAGCAGCGTCCTAGACGAGATCCACGAGGCATTCCCCAAACTTGGTGGTCGCTTAGTGCAAAGCGTTTCCAACATTCTGCAATCTCCGTTTAACGTCCCAAGACAGCAGTCGTACAACTGTAGTGCGTATCTTCCGACACCCTTTCAGTTGTGGACCATGTGCGATGGGCAAGTTTGTCGCTACAACAGCTGGCCCGAGCAAGGCATTCCTTCTTGTCCCGTGGAACCTCTATCCTGTTCAGGATTTTCCATCTCCGATAACAGTGCATTTGTGAAGTACCGCAGTCTGCCTCCGATAGCGGACAACAGCTCTTTCAGGTCTGGCCATTCGTCCGAAGAAGTTGCTGCTGTTTTAGCGTCGTTTGGAAGTCCGGAGCAGAGAATAACAACTTGTTAAAAAAAGAAAACTTTTCATGCCACTTGGACAAAAACAGGCTCTGTTTTGGTTTCTTATATTGCAAGTATTGAATATTCCCGAAGAGACCAATATAAAAACTTTGTTATTAAGAAAGTCTTTTAAATATATTTCATACTGGTTGTTCAAACAGCAGACTATAGTTTTGTTTGGTAAACAAAACGGATAAATTTTCTTCACGAGGATTACTGATTTACGAAGAGAAAAAGAAGAAAGTGTCTTGTTTTTACGCGATTTAGATGTAGTCTTATTGTTTGTCCTTAATTGTTTCAATAAAAACTAATTGCTTTATTAAAGATGTTAACAATCTCATCGATGAGGAAGTAAATAACTAAATGTCTTGTTCTTATTATAATAGTTAATAAGCTTACATTTCTAGCTCCAAAAAATACTTGAACAAAACTTTAAAAAAAGCAAATAATTTCTTGTTATCACAGCTCTTTCAGTATAACAGTTTTGCTAATGAGCGGATAAAAGTCCCCGGAATTTTCATCTGAAAGAGTAGACTGTCTGCAAATGGTTTTGTTTGTCATTTAAAATTCGTAGGTGACGCGAGGGGTGGAGGGTGGGTGTGACTGGTATAACTTGGTAACAGGTTTGTGTGTTGGGGGAAGGAGTTAGGGATGGATCTCAGCCGTGCAACTCATATCAATATATTTTTTAAAAAATAGTTTTAATCCGAATTAGCTGAACGTGAAAACTTGCACATCTCATAAAGGCAAACTACTGCTCGATGACAAGAAAAGCAAAAACGTAGTTACCTTGGGACGTTCCATTTTCTGTCCTCACCCCCGCCCTTAAGATTGCTGGAATCCAAACCCTCAATATTTCGTCGGCGCTTTCTGGAGAAATTAAATCCGAAAGGTTTACGTTTTGTCAGCACTTTTGAGAAATTTGTTGGAAAGGTCCAAATTTTGTCGGCTTCTACAGAGAAAAACTCCGAACCCGCTATTCAAATACTCATCGTCTGGGGCGGGGGAAGTGCGAAATGGCGTGTCCCCAGTTCAACAAGATCTTTCAGTCTAACGAGACTGACCAGTTGCAAATAAAGTCCCATGGCAAATGCTTTCGAGAGAGCCTTTTTGAAAGCAATGTTCCAATTTTTCTGCTTAGGATTGGTCGCCTCAGTTCCTGGTTTATGGAGACATGGGTCGTATTGACGGAGCGCCCAGTCTTCAACGGCTGATACAGGAGGCCCAGTCTGGACATAACACGGCCATTTTACATGTTGGGGATTTCGCGTATGACCTTCAAACTAATGGGGGACTGGTGAGTGTGTTTTAACTTGTCTTTAATGAAGGATTTGTTCCCTTGAGAACAAAGTGTTAGTGACAGTGTGACAGTGTTGCACTAAACGAGTTTGAAGTTCGAGACCAAGGGCCGGTTATTAAAACAAAATTGACACGGGTAAACACGTTTATTCGCAACATTCTGTCAATTAATTTTTTTTATGGTTTCAATGGGAAATGGCAGTTGAGACATTTGTGGATGTGTACCTACCCCTACTTCAACTGGAGGCAAAAAGTCGGCACCCAGTCTTCGCCTCGTTTTCAGTTTGGCCGGCGCAAGCCGGGAATGCTGTAGTTGTTTGTTATTAGTATTAGAGACTTTAAGCTTCACGTATACGACAAACGACAAGCGTCAGGTAAGAATTTCTTAAAATAGAAAATAAGCAGATAAAACAGCTCAAAACATTTCTTCCGGATAAAAAATTGCATGAAACTACTAAGTTATGTGTAGAAAGAATGAACCGTATTAACAACGAGAAGTAAATAGGTCTTGGTCTCGTGGTACAAATTCACGTTTACCGTTTGACGTAATAGGTTTCTGTAGTTTTGCAGATAAAATAATGGTAACACTATAACTTTACAAAACGAAAAGGACTGGTTTGTTTGCTACTGTGCGTCCTGTGCTTTTCTTCTTTAGAATAGTTGATTTGGCGCCCATAAAGTCGAGAAACGGGTCCCACCTCCCAAGGTCAGGCTTAAAGTTCAGGGTCGCTTTGTGATTTTGAACTTTTCCCCAGACGCCAAGATGATGCCGTGAACAAGAAAGACCATTAAGCCGTCGAAAATTTTGGAGAAAATAAATTCGATTTTCCTTTCGCTGTTGCGAGAAAAAAATCTTTTTAATTAGAGTTTAGGCGTTGTTTAACAAAACCGCGTTCAAAGCCATTTTAAATTTATCTGACGCTCACAGATTGATCATTTTTTTGCTGTTTAGTAACAGCGTCCTTAGGGCCTGCACCCCCAGACTGTAGCCTGGCAGAGAGCCCCTCTTCCCGATTTTCTTGTTTGTTTGTTTTTTTTTTCCTTTGTTTTGTCTAGGGGAAGGGGCGGCTTTACTCAGGCTACACAAACTAGCGAGCTCTTTATATACTTAATAAACAGATCTTTACCTACTGAGTCTTTTAAACTTTTGTCTTTTACTAATCAGGCTTTAAATAATCACCCCCAAGTGTTTTTCCGTTAGACGCGGGGCATAAATCGCAAGAAAAAATACGAGGTTCCGTAACTTGCGTCACTAAAGAAACGAAGTTAGTTATATGTTCATCATGCGTTTGAATCGCTTTAGTAGTATACAGTAGTAAACCGCCCACAAAACAACCTCGTTCCCAGGCTCCTCTCCTACCCGTCCCTTGGAGCGAGAGAGAGTGGACGAGTAGGAGAGGACCCTGGGAACGAGTTTGCACACGTCAATAGCAGAAGCCCCGGTTTCTTCTCCAGTGTTCGCAGCCCTGCTGAAAAAGCCTTCGAACGCGAGCTTTTGCACTGTACAAGTCCTTGCAGCAATCAGTTACCTCGGGGAGTACGCAGTCTAATTTTCTTGAAAATCTAGTGAGAGGAGCCCACGCACGCGTGAAAGTCGAGAGACTCGAGAAGCGAGCGCGGCAGCCCGAGAAGAAAAAAGAAGAAATTGCTTTCACAGCCAGAGTAAATGAAATATGCGTTGTCCTCACGACGCAAAAATACGATCGGCTAATGCTTATTGTTACTATTATTATTATTATTGTTGTTGTTTTTGTCGCGCCTGTCACGCTTTCAGTTGGGTGGGCAGGTGTCCCAGGCGTCTTCCTCGACGGCCTTAAAAAATGGAGTCTTGTCTAGCAGTCTAGTTACCCCTGAATCCCTGAATAAGTCGTCGTTGCAGATGTAACGCCAGTTTATACTGCAATGATTGCGATGATTAGGGTAAATTCCCCTTTTGATAACTATTCCTCAGGTTCTCAGAAGTTATGGGGATAAATGACTTGATGGAACCGAGAAAAACATTTGCCGTGATATTGGGGATTTTAAACATTTTATAACTAAGATGAATTCCTTGTTTTTTGTTGGTAGAACGGTGATGCGTTCATGAACAGGATTCAAGACATGGCTGCGATTGTTCCTTACATGACCTGCGTCGGAAATCACGGTAAGCTGAACCAGACAAATATAGCGTATTGTATCACTCTTTCTCTCTCTCTCTCTGATTTCCAGCCTCTCTCCAGTTCCCTTCTCGGCTAGTTCCCTCAATCGAGTCCTGCCAAGCCTCGACTCGACATACTGAAGAGGGAATGCTAGCAGCGTACTATCTTCGCCACTGTCTTTCTTTCAGTGTTCGCTTCCTGGATTTTTCTTCCTGCTTATTCTTTGCCACACTATTAATTTAATTGACGTGTGCATTAAGCTTGTTAGATAACGTCTTGACTTTACGTTGCGTTATTTTTCTCACTTATTTGTGTTGTCTGTGACTGTGCTCACATGGTGGGTGGCTGCTCCTAAAATGCTCTGCAATTGGTACAGGATTTAATTGAGCCGAAACCAGGTGTGGAATTGCACACATTTTAGGCATCCTACTGATGAACTGTTACCACACGTAGATATATTTTTAGCAACTACTATAATTTGCAGGCCGTCCACATTGAATTTTTCCGAAATAACTGAGCCGCTGATCAGTCTCATATTGCGGGCGCCTGTAAAGGCCGCCAATTTCGAAGATGATGGTATAACGTGCGCATAACTGTTTATATTTAAACACTTGGGGAGTTTGCCAGACATGAGTTCACAAATCTTTGATTGGAAACAATTTGCCAGACACTCTTTCTCCCCTTTGGGGGAATAAGACTCAGTCCACAAACAAGCAAGACGAGTGCCCGAACCAACTGCTAGCTTATCACTAGCAGAACGATGGACGATTACCGAAATTCGCCGACAGTCAAATTCTGTGCTGACTTATTCCCTGCTGACAGATGTCCTCCTATAAAGTTTACAAAAGGATTAGAACTCGCGAACCTTTTAATTTCTAAGGGTTACCTTCCGGTAAATATTATGAACTGTATGTAAATCGTTGGCCTGCATAACAGGCGCTTTATAAGCCAGGCGAGGCGAACGCGGCATTTTGCGCGAAACGAGTGCGAAGGGCGAGACGAGGGGAGGAGAAAAATATAGCAAAGTGAAAGAGAAATAGCGAAATATTGCAACTTCTAATTAAATCTTTTCTTACGGTTGAGAATAAGATATTCTCGAAACTGAGAATGTCTTCAGATCAAAGCTGTGTAAATCGAACTGAAACAGTGCATGCAACCTTGCGCTTCCTGTTTTTACTCTCACTTATTGTATGGAACATGTGTGAAAATCTTCATTATGAATCGGTATATTTCAAAGAGCTATACAACGACCAAGAATACTATTGACCGACAATATACAGAGCGGGGGCAGCTGTACTGTCAACTATTACTAGTATAATTAATAGTAGGCGATCCCGCAGACATCAGACACGTACAATCAAATAAATAATCTTAAGCAAACCAAGAGTAAGTACTTTTCGAATATTTTCCAAAGCGATACCACTGTAACTTGCTTGCTGTCCTTTTTAATTGTTTCTGCTTGCAGAGATTGCCTTCAACTTCAGTCACTATCGCTATAGATTCTCCATGCCTCAACTAGAATGGCCTACTACAGTTGATAGAATGTGGTACAGCTTCGACATCGCAAAGGTCCACTTCATCAGGTAAACAGTAAATACATTGCTATATTAAAGTAAAAACTTCTACCCTTAATGAACATAAACACATTTTAATGCCCTCACCATGGGTGAGGTCATTATTTCCTGCTCGTAAAACTTTGAAGAGTTTAAGGGCTTGTTGTATTAGGATCCTGTATGGTTTCTTGAATTGGTTACATTTTTAAACTGTCGAAGCACCGCAGCACCACAACTACCGTAAATCCTCTATTAAGCCCCCCCCCCCGGGGGGGAGCTTTTTTATTTTCAAGCCCATTTGAGAGGAGGGGGGCTTATTTATTTTAGAAAAGACGATGGTATCAGTCAGCGGCGGATCCAGACCTTTAGATAATGGGGGGCCCGGTCATCGAGACCCTGAGATAAAGTGGGGGGGGCGGTCTCAAAAAAATTTTTTTCGGCTCTTTGGGCCTCAGTTTGGTCTAAAAATAAGAGCCCCCCCCCCCCGGGCCCCTCACCTGGATCCGACACTGTCAGTTCTCCATAAAGAACTAGAATACGAAGTGGAAAAGCTCAAATACAAGAAGTTTTAGGTCCTGCAGCCAAAGATCAGAATTAATTCCGAACTTCCAGTTGGTAAATAGACCATCCCGGATCAGTCCACAGGAAGTTATACAGTCGTGATTGATTAATACAGTCTATCATTTATTATCAAAGAATAATTAGGGGAGGGGAGGGGGGGTTATTAACTTTCTTCCCCTGAAAAGGGAGGGGCTTATTAGAGGGGGGGCTTAAAAGAGGATTTACGGTAACTCAAACCTGATTTTAAATGTTGAAATAATGAGTAGCGCGCTTACCTGTCGACAGGTGCGCTCGTTAAGAGTCGTCGAATCAACGGTACTGACAACCACGATTCAACCCGAAAAAAATGTCCGAACGTTTTCTGTTCGGAACTTCAACTAAATCAACCAAAATTGATGTCGGTTTAAGTGGTTAATTTCATGAATTTAACACAATCTAGTAAGAGTGAGGCCCCATAATGACAAGTGACAACAGTTACTTTTTATGTGCACGAGTCCTGCACCAGGCCCGAGTTTTTGCGATGCTTTAAACGGTATATATGTTGTAGGTAAAGCCTGTTCACGGCTTAAACCAGTATTCAACGCAGTTTGATCAGAATTTTCTTTGCTTCCTTGCCGCAATTGTTCATTTTAATCATAGGATTTAAAGGTAGTTGTGGTTTATCCTGGGAACAAATTTTATATACAACATAATTATACTCTGACAAATAAAGAATGATGGTAAATTTTAAGCTCTGTGAAGAAGTGAGAAATGATGTGATCAACATGTCACGAGCATGAGACAAACAAAAACATCTGAGTCCCCGAGAGGAATGGAACCTATGGCCTTCCGTACACTGGTCAGCGGTCAGATGCTCTAACCACTGAGCTACGAAGGACTCATGGGAAACTTGGCAGTTTCAATTCCTGTAGGAGACTCAGAGTTTTTCTTTGTCCCGTGCTTGTGACATGTTGATCACATCATTTCTCAACGTATACTCCGTTTTACAGCTGTTCATTAAGATAAAGCTGAGAAGTTGGAACTAATTTTGTACTCAAGTTGCTTAAATTTATGTGCTTTCGTTAACTTATTGCTCTTTTTCAAAACGTAAGTTGTCGCTGTTCGGCAAAGTATTGAGGGATTTTTCAGGGCTCTGTTCACATGCGATTAGGTAAAAAAAAGTAAACTTTTACTAACCTGACTTAAGACTTAATTACATCCCTTTCTTTTGTAGTTTTTCGACCGAAGTCTATTTTACTAATGGCGCAGTTGCGGAACAGGTAGAGTGGTTAACGAACGATCTCAAGGAGGCAAACAAACCAGAGAACCGAGCTAAGAGGCCTTGGATAATCGCTTTTGGTCACCGGCCCATGTACTGCTCCAATATTGATCATGATGACTGCACCACTCTTCATTCTGTTGTCAGAAAAAGGTGGGTTTCTTTTTTCCGAAAGCTGCAAGTACAATAATATAGACATCCACAACAATAGCAGGTAATCCGATAGAGCTTGAAAACTCATGAACAAAAGGTGTGATGCGATGCAACCACGTGAAGCGATTCCAAGTATCCTGAAAGCGTGCAAGTATTTTGTGGTGAGAAATCCTGCTCTGGAAACATAACTATAGTATATAGAATATTTTCGTACTCAGAGCAAAGATTGTTTAAACCCAGATATTTCACGTTCAAATGGTTTGATGGACGAGTCAAAGGGAGTAGCAACCTCGTTCCCAGGGCGCTTTTCCCTGGCTTTGGCACTTATGTCCAGGATCGATCTTGTTAGCAAAAATTTGCTAGCAAATTCCTTTCGCAATTGTCGCAAAAGAAATAATTGAGAAAAAAATTATGTAAGAAATCACTTATAAATATCGCAGAAATCGCAAAAATAACAAATCTAACAAGAATCAAGACTTAGAAAAAAAAAGAAACCAAGAAGGACCCCGAAATGTCCGCAAATATCGCAAAAGTAACAAGGATTTTTCTCGCTAGCTGAAAACACCCGTGACAAACATCGCAAAAATCGCAAAAATAACAAGTCTAAAAAGAATCAAGACTTGGAAACAGAAGAAGCCAAGAAGGGCCCCAAAATGTCCGCAAATGTCGCAAAAATCGTAAAAGAAACAAGGATTTTTTTTTTGCTAGCTAAACACACCCGTGACAAATATCGCAAAAATAAGAAATCTAACAAGAATCAAGACTTGGAAACAGAAGAAGCCAAGAAGGGCCCCGAAATGTCCGCAAATATCGCAAAACTCGCAAAAGTAACAAGGTTTTTTTTGCTAGCTAAACACACCCGTGACAAATATCGCAAAAATCGCAAAAATAAGAAATCTAACAAGAATCAAAACTTGGAAACAGAAGAAGCCAAGAAGGGCCCCGAAATGTCCGCAAATATCGCAAAACTCGCAAAAGTAACAAGGTTTTTTTTTGCTAGCTAAACACACCCGTGACAAATATCGCAAAAATCGCAAAAATAAGAAATCTAACAAGAATCAAGACTTGGAAACAGAAGAAGCCAAGAAGGGCCCCGAAATGTCCGCAAATATCGCAAAACTCGCAAAAGTAACAACGTTTTTTTTTGCTAGCTAAAAACACCCGTGACAAATATCCCCAGGGAGGGTACTCGGGATTTCAAGTGACAAGGATGATCGAATGGAGCCAAAAGTCAAGACCCAAAAAAATCCCTAGGACTTCCAGCAAAACCCTAAAAAATCCCTGGACCAAAAATTAACCCCCAAAAAATCCCATGCCGATTTTGTGGCCCTTAAAAGTTCCAGAAAGGGGTAATGCTATAATACAAAGAAAAACATTGGAAATTGAACACTCGTGTTTGTTTATTCATCATACCATCTGAATATATCCTTTCCCTCATCTGATTCTTTTTAATAGCCCCAAAAGATCCCTACTCAAATCAAGCTACCCAAGCCAAATTTTCATACCCAAAAAAAATCCCGGAATCGAAAATTTCAAACCCACAAAAATCCTTCGATCATCCCCGTCACTTGAAATCCCGAGTACCCCCCCTGGGCAAATATCACAAAAATCGCAAAAATAAGAAATCTAACAAGAATCAAGACTTCGAAACAGAAGAAGCCAAGAAGGGCCCTGGAATGTCCGCTAATATCGCAAAAATACCAAATGTAACTAAATTCCAGACTTACAAAGACAAGAAGCCAAGAAGGGCCCCGAAATGTCCGCAAAAATCGCAAAAGTAACAAGAATTTTTCATGCTAGCTGAAAACACCTATGACAAACATCGCAAATATCGCAAAAATAACAAATGTAACAAAATTCCAGACTTAGAAAAAAAAGGAAGCCAAGAAGGGCCCCGAAATGTCCCCCAAATATCGCAAAAATTGCAAAAGTAACAAGGATTTTTCTTGCTATGTGAAAAGATTGAGCAACAAATATCGCAAAAATAGCAAGAATAACAAATTTAACGAAATACTTCACTTAGAAAGAGAAAAGGTCAAGAAGGGCTTGGAGATGTCCGCAAATTTCGCAAAAATCGCAAAAGTAACAAGAATTTTTCTTACTATGTGAAAAGACTGAGCAACAAATATGGCAAAAATTGCAAGAATAACAAATTTCGCAAAATTCTACACTTGGAAAGAGGAAAGGTCAAGAAGGGCTTCGAGATGTCCGCAAATTTCGCAACATTCTTGTCCAGTAATTTTGTGATGCTTTCCATTTTTGCGAAAATGAAATCATCAGTTACAAACGTGACACTATTTATAATTACTGACAGTAGCAAAATACTATAATATCAATCTGTGTATGCTTCGTTCTTCCATCAACATACAGCTACAATGAATAGAAAGGAGTGTCGCTCACAGAAGGGGGCAAATTATCAGCAATAAAAGGGGGTGGTTAACAATCGTTCCAAAATATCAAGAATAGCAGATTGGGGGAAAAGTAAACGGATCATAAGATTCGCGCATTATACATGAATGTTGTGGTGCAATACCCATAGTTTTTTAAACAGGGATTGCCGAAAGTAACAAGATATTCGCGGACATTTTGGACCCCTTGTTGGTTTCTTCTTTTTTCTAAGTCTAGAATTTTGTTAATTTTTTTATTTTTGCGATATTTGACACGGGTGTTTTTTAGCACGCAAGAAAAATCTTTGTTACTTTTGCGATCTTTGCGATATTCGCGGACATTTTGGACCCCTTATTGCCTTCTTTTCTTTCTAAGTCTGGAAATTTTTTAAATTTGTTATTTTTGCGATATTTGCGATATTTGTCATGGGTGTTTTAAGCTAGCTAGAAAAATCCTTGTTACTTTTGCCATTTTGGCGATATTTGCGAACATTTTGGACCCCTTCTTGGCTTCTTTGCTTTCTAAGTCAGGAATTTTGTTACATTTGTTATTTTTACGATTTTTGCGATATTTGTCACGGGTGTTTTTAGCTCGCAAGAAAAATCCTTGTTACTTTTGCGATTTTTTGCGATAATTGCGGACATTTCGGGGCCCTTCTTGGTTTCTTCTTTTTCTAAGTCTAGAATTTTGTTCAATTTGTTATTTTTGCGATTTTTGCGATATTTGTCATAGGTGTTTTTAGCTGGCAAGAAAAATCCTTATTATATTTGCGATTTTTGCCGACATTTCGTGGTCCTTCTTGGGTTCTTCTTTTTCTAAGTCTAGAATTTTGTTAAATTTGTTATTTTCGCGATTTTTGCCATATTTGTCATAGGTGTTTTTAGCTAGCAAGAAAAATCCTTGTTATATTTGCGATTTTTGCGATATTTGCGGACAATTCAGGGTCCTTCTTGGCTTCTTTTTTTCTAAGTCTTGAGTCTTGTTAGATTTGTTATTCTTGCGATTTTTGCGATATTTGTTAGTGATTTTCTGACATAATTTTTCTCAATTATTTCTTTTGCGACAATTGCGAAAAACGTTTGCTAGCAAATTTTTGCTAACAAGATCGATCCTGGACATATCTCGGCTTTGGAGGTGGAGGTGGGGAAAAGCGCCCTGGGGACGAGGTTCAGGGAGTAGGGAATGGGACGAGAGAGACTTATGCACGCTTTAAAAATGCACGCCTCATTGATTGTATTTACTACTCTCCCCATTTTTCCTCTTCTTTTAAAATCAAATATGGCGACCGTACAGACGAAAATACTGAGCGCCCAATTGTCCGAAAAATGCTTCCGTACTACTAGTTCTAGCTGAGGGACAAATGCCATCAACGGAAGATGTTTGGAAGTGTATTTTGGCTACACTGTTCAAATTTTCCTGTTTTCCGTAAGATCGTGGAGATCTAGCCTTTATCGTTACGTTTGGCCAACTTGGTTTCAAATGCACCGTGCAGCCAGGTCAATGTAAGATTCTGGGAACTTCCGGCCATCTACCCCTCCCTCATTCTTCTTCCATCTTCCGCTATCCTGGCCGAAGTAGTGTCTCTTATCTACCTAGCGGGGGCGGGGTGGGGGACGGCTTCGGGTAAGGCAAGAAACGTGTCACATTATTACTATTTTCACTCCTTCTAGCCTCGAACCGGTTTTTTTCCAGTATGGTGTGGACATCATTATACAAGCGCATGAGCACTCATACGAACGCCTCTGGCCAGTGTTTAATGATACAGTGACGGCTCATAATTACTCTAATCCCAGAGCACCAGTCCACATAATCTCAGGCGCCGCCGGCTGCAACGAGTTTTATGGGATATGCGTGAACCCAATGCTGGGACCCAGAGGTGAGAACTTCCTTTATATGAAATAAAAATGCGAATAAAACGGTAGCCAGTAAGAATTCGGGTCAACGTCGGATATACTTTACGCCGTAAAATGACAGTGTATCTAGAGAATACTTTGTGGGTACCCCTCTTGCATAATCGACAGAAATGACTTTTCTAAAAAAAACAAAGATCAGCGCAGTTATAGACGTAACTTTTGCAGTTTCGAAAAGAAAGCCTGATAAAATTCTGGGTTGTACGGGATTTGAACCCTTGACCTCTGCGAAGCCGGGGCAGCGCTCGACCAATTGAGCTAACAGCCAACTGGGAGCTGTTCAGTGAGTTGGATCGTTATAAACCCTTGAGTTGGAATCTCGCACCAGCCTGATTTTTTCAAGCTTTCTTTTCGCAACTGCAGAAGTTGCGTCTGTAACTGCGACTATCAAGGCTTCTTTCATTTAACTCTTCACCACGTAGTTCCTACATATGATTTTCATATTCATTATTTCATCGTTAGAAAAGGCTAATATTTTTGACGTAATATATCAAACATGAGATGCAGTGTTTCATCACCAGACGAAACACCGAGAAGAGAGTTGAAAATACGACGCGCAGCGGAGTATTTTTGACGAACTTCGAGGTGTTTCATCTGGTGATGAAACACTGTGTCGAATGTTTGATATTTCTTCTCAAACAAAATCATTTTTGAAGGAGAAATTAAGGATGCAAATACTAAGCAGTGTTTCATCCGATTTCCAAACACTCATTAAACATTAATTTCCTTTGTATTTTCTTAATGAATTATTAATGAGTTTGAGAATGTACCATAAAGACTTGTTATGCGGGCCCGTAGCAAGAATAAAATGACTGGGGGGGCTGAGCGAGTGCCCCACATTAACCCCCCCTCCTGCTTCGGTCCCACGGTTAAAGCATACTTGCCAGCTATTCTTGTGGATGGCTCCAAATCATTTTCATTTCGGGGTTGTTCTTTGATTCGGATTGTTTCTTCGATTACACCAGGCTCTGTGTCACTAGTGCATGCTTTTACCCACGATAAAAGTGTTCCTTGCTTATTTTCGACTTGTTTGGGTTCTTGTTCGGAGGCTCTTGCGAAGACATTGTAAGACTTTCAATATAAACGCGCAAAAACCTAAGTTTACTCTAGTACAGTAGTATATTTTACACTGGTGGACCTCTTGGGAAACCAATAAAGTTCAAGAGGTCAAGTTCAGGGATTGTCATTGGTGCATTTCGATCCATTTTGCTTCTGACTATTTTGATGCTTAATAAGCAGATACTTTAAAGCTGTTGGTTGTTTTTGGCAGAGCAAAAATACGATTTCGTTCATTTACATCATTCCAAATTGCACCGGAAGAACAACAGTACATAACTTTACTATGATCGACAATACTTTGAAACTTTAGCTTCCATTGACAGCTGTCCGTTTTAGGAGAAAAATTCCACTTTTGAAGGAGAATTTAATTCAAGTCTAAAACATTTCTGGGGGGGGGCTCGAGACCCCTCCCCCTGCTACGGGCCTGTTATGTCGCTAAAGGAAACCAAGCCTTACATCGGTTCACACCAGTTTTCTGTCGCAATGATGGCTATCAGCAGCTTCCGGCGTGGCTTCAATACGGGGCTTACGCTCCTAATCATTTGTTGGTTTACTGCGCAACAGAGGAAAAGAAAGAGATAACACATTCTTACCAACCGCACTTCGATTTTTCCTGACGGCAAAACGAGTCTCATAGTTCTCTTCATGTGAACGCGGCCATTGTGCCGCCAAATCATGCGGTTTCAACGACGTGCAGCTATTAGGGTAGCAGTATAACACACGCTAAAACAGAACTAGCTTTCGATTATTCATCGAGCCTTCTCTAATCAAATCCACAACAGTCTCTGATCGTGTTTCTCAATTCGCCGTGATTAAACCTTACAAAGAGATTGACGATTTGGCCTTTGATTTCCTTTCCTTTATATCTTGTCCTGTTTAAAACTTTTCTTTTCCTGTCGCGGCTCATAGTTTTTGTTGACACCTGTTAAACATCAACTCTTAACATGGCTACCTCACAGAACGTCAGTTACTGTCAACAACAGTCCTAATAAGGACTACACCCCCCCTTGCCATCATATTCCAATAGTTGACTTATTCATGACTGTTGTTGTGTTACCATACGAATATGAGTAACCATATTAACTAAAGTGTTTGCCCTCTGAAGATTTGGAACACGTTAGAAAGGCCCGCTTCGTGTTTCTGTTAGATGCAATGGTTGTTATCCATAGCAATTATATAGATTCGATCATTTAAGCAAAGAATGAGCTTCCTCTGCAGTCTTCCTCCTGCTTGTAGCTTCGTCGTGAGTTCAGTTTTCTTCGTCATGTTCCAAGAAAACCGCGAGCTTTGCAGGCTAACGCAGTTGTGAACGCAAATTATTTTACGGTAGAAGCGTGCACGATTTACAGCTGGCGGAAAAATAATCATAGCCCGGTAATAATGGCAGCACTTCATGTTCGCGGAAATCCACAGCAGATTTTAGTTCTATAAAGAGTTACTTTTGTCGTCATTTCACGCCAGGTCCATGGTCCGCATTCAGAGAGTGGTTTCCAGGCAACGCGGGCTATGGTAAGCTGAGGATTGTGAACTCGACCCATGTCTTCTGGGAACAAATCAAAGCTTGGGATGCGTCAGTGACAGACAGTATTTGGATTGTGCAGGAACACCACGGACCGTTTAAACCGCTGAATGTAGAATATTAGAGAATTATCTTAGGTCGAACAGGACTTCTTCATTTGGATTACACAGGAACACCACGGACCGTATAAACTGCTGAATGTAAAGTATTAGAGAATTATCTGATCGCACAGGACTGCTTCATTTGGATTACACAGGCGCACCACGGACCGCATAAACTGCTGAATGTAAAGCATTAGAGAATTATCTTATATCGCACAGGACAGCTTCATTTGGATTACACAGGCACACCACGGACCGTATAAAGTATTAAAGAATTATCTTAGATCGCAGAGGACTGCTTTATTTGGATTACACAGGCGCACCACGGACCGCCTAAACTGCTGAATGTAAAGTATTAGAGAATTATCTTAGATCGCACTGGACTTCTTCATTTGGATTACACAGGAACACCACGGACCGTATAAACTGCTGAATGTTAAGTATTAGAGAATTATCTTAGATCGCACAGGACTGCTTCATTTAGATTACACAGGCACACCACGGACCGTATAAACTACTGAATGTAAAGTATTAGAGAATTATCTTAGATCGCACAGGACTGCTTCATTTGGATTGCACAGCCGGGAACACCACAGACCTTTTAAACCGCTGAATGTAAAATATTACAAAAGCATCTCAGATCGGACAGGACTGCTTCATTTGGTTTGTGCATGAACACCACGGACCGTTTAAACCGCTGAAATGTAGAATACTTACCTTGATTTCGCGGGACTTCTTAACCTATTAGGACGGAACATCTAAATTATGAGTATCTGAATTCTAGTATGGTAGGCAAGGAAGTTCTTTACGCGTTATCGTAGATTGTAATGATATTTTGACAAAAATTGACCATTTTTAATTTTTAAAGTAAAAGAAATCACCAGCGCAAGTTCATCAAGGACTTTATGTTGCACAAAAGTGACCGCATTTTGTCGCAGTGTATTTTTATTCGAAAGCAGGAGCCGATAATCGACTCTGAACGAAAGACTGAATGTCGAGAGCTTCTTTTTAAATGGCTGTATTTACTGAGAGAAAATAATGAAATGCAACCAATAGTCAAATAAAGCAAAGGACGCGAGTTCTATTGGTTTCCCTATTCCCGAGTTCGTGCGCTTGGGTTGTTTAGCGATTTTGGGGATGGGTACAAGACCCCCCTTCAAAGGTAAATTCTAGTCAATCAAAAAATCGCTGTCGACGTTCGTTCAAACTGTTTACTTTTAAAGTACAAAAAACTTTGATTCATGTCTCAGTGTATATCGAACATTTTTCCTAAAAATTTTGATAGATGAATTGGAAGACTGACTCACTGAATGAATTTTAAATTAAATATCTGCTAACAACATTACCTAGAATAAATCGGAGATTTATTGCTGTTAACCTTAATATCATAATTTTTAACAAAATGCCTTTATTACAGGAAATGTCTCAAAATAAATGCGAGCTCAGATCTCACAAATGTGTTTGTTTTCTTTATCCATTCTAACTTCACGGTTACAACATTTCCTACAACAAAATCTCAAACGCTTCTAGTTGTGAAATTAAAGAATGATTACAGTGCCAGTTTTCTAACGGAAGTGTTGTAGTTGACCCCCCCCCCCCCTTTTTTTAAGGCAAGCATGGCTGAGTTTGTGTTAACTAGTAGTTTGATGACCGTTGGGAGAATCTTTTGCGGTTATAGTTAATCAAAGATTTATCTACAAAACCTTGATAAAGTCCGCGTGGAAATGTTTTTATTTAAGGGCGTGTTAAAACGCCTATTTCCTCACAAGCACTGTCCTATACTGCAATATATGCTTTAATTCTAATTTGGCGGAATTGATTTCAGGACAGATTCCCATACAATTAATTTTACGGTGTGTTTCTCCCAGTTTAAAGTGGTGTTAGACAAGGGAAGTCAGAGTATTGAGAAACTAATTATGTCGGATCGGTAAATCGACAGTTGTAGTTTTACACCCTGCATGTTCAAACAAACAGTCCACTTCGTGATTAACTTGCTGAAAGTTATTTTACCACCTGGATTGTCCGATCCTCCGTGCTTTTCCTATTTAAGCCCAGCCTTGTTTGTTGTCACGACGGAAAGCAGCGAATCTTATTTGATTAAGAGCAAAAAAACGAGCTTTAATAAGGTTTTGAGCAATGTGTGTTTGCTTAAGTTGAATGGGAAGCTTCCTTTGTTCGCGTTTATTAAAACTGTCAAGTCGTGCAATATGTAATTTATCTGCAAGTAAACCTTTTCTTCGCGTTTTGTTATTCTCCAAGTTCAAACAACATTCATTGTTTCGTCGCTTTGTATTCAAAAGAAGCCTTCTCAGTAACCAAACTCGCAGTTGTTCTTCAAAGTAATTATCTAGAGCTTATTGTTCGCGGGTAAATCAAGACAGGACGCATTACACAAAGGAGGACTTAATTCGCGTGCGTTGGGCTGGACGCGGTGTTTACCAAACTTCGCAGGTTTTCTGTCAAAGAGAAATCATTTTGATCTATCTGTTTCTTTAAGTTTTGATTAGAACATACTTGTTTCAATATCGCTAAAGGAAGCGATAGATGTTATCGCTGATATGGGATGCACTCGTGAATCAAAAAAGCGAAGTGCGATTGTTCAGCTTGAACGAACGTGGTGGAAGTTGCGAGCAGAATCGAATGAAAACAATATTTAGAGCTAACGAGGTGCTGAGAATGTGACAACTAGCGATCCGTCGAATGTTGCTGTCTGTCTCTCAAATGTGTCTTTAATGTTTATGTTAACACCTAATTAAACAGGCGCGAATCCCGTTAATTAAAAGGAAGAACGAATTGATAAGATAGCGCGAAAGGCAATTTTTAACTGCGATAACAGTAATATTGGTTTATGAGAGAAGTATCGATTATTTTCTTTGTTATACCCGTTGCTTGAACTCTTACGATGGATTTGGGAAACGCAGATTTAAGAGCGCTTTATTGAAAGTTCAACTTAAATACTTATGGAACTTTATATGCAACGTTTCGCACCCACTTCGCTTTTTCCTTTGGGTATTGTCGAAAGCTGTTACATTTTCGTAACTAATTATTTTTCGAAAAGAATGAAGTCCTTCTGTTGTGACATTCCCTAGCTTTGTGCCGTTAAAACAAAACAAAAGAAAACCAGATAAAAATAAGCAGCATGTTGTATCATAAAAAAGAAGTAAATCAAATGGTTTTTACAGTAAATAAGTAAAATTACGAATGTGTTGGGGGTGACTTGGATAATGCCCTAACGCGGGAAGATGTCATTAACCAGCATACGTTCAGAAGCGCCAAGGCTAAGTGTTTGTATTAAAAAGTGTGCTTCCCACATGGCTAATAAAAATAACAATGAGAAACAACATGGTTTTAGCACAATGCCATGTCCTCGCATATTGTAAGACATTGTTTACGCTTTTCTTCGGAGTAACCTGCATTGTCAAGTTTGCTTTTGTTGCATTCTCAGTTTAATCTTGGCTGTATTGCGTGAAATTTCCAATGTTTCGCACTGCAGATACTTGTAAAATCGACCACGAACGTTAAAATATCGACATTGTTAGATGTGTCCATTGAGGCATGGGTTAATGGCAGTAATTTTTGCCCAAGAGTAGAAAACGAATGTAGGGACGTTATGGCTAAGATTTCCCTCCGTTTACGGTTCAGTCACCTACGCGGAACACAAAAAAATAAACGCCATGTTTGTGGTGACGGCTAGCGTATCGTCCAATACAACAATAACTTTTTTAAAACTGATTTCTTAAGGAGAGACATAAATCTCTGATTTTGGTTGTCGGAATGACAACTTTTATTTGACGATTGATAAAAGTTTCAAACCAGTCTTTGTTAAATCATCGATGTTATTATATAGAAAGAACTTGTTTCAAAAAGGGACAATTCGTTGTTCATGAACAATTGTACAAGTATTAATGACATTACATTTATTTGTCAGTTTTGTGTGAAAAATTATTTGTTCGTTGGAAGTTTTTCCGTGAAGGGAATAAAAAAATCAAAACGAATTTTCACTCAAAACTTGTAACATTAGCGAATCGAACGAGGCAGAAACTTTTTGAAAGCAGATGAAAGTCTCCAAACTTTGAATAAATTCCAGTTATACACGTTTTCGTATAGACAACCTCGCCGTAGTGTGCTTTCATACAAGACGGCTTAAATGCGGAGAAATTTACTTTTGACCGCGTTTAGTTTACGCAACTGAATAAACTTTCATTTTACAATTATCTGGGATGGCAGTTTTGTTAAAATTGGCTAACTGAACCAGCGCTGAAATAAGGGGGAGAAAAATAGAGTATTTGGCAATTCCAACTTTCAAAATCAAACGTGAAAGAGCCAAGCCAAGCGCCGAGAGGATCTTAGTGTTACATCCGTTTAACTTTCAGGGACGTTTTCATCACTGCTTACTTAGACTCTAAGTAAACTACAGAAGAACAAAACAAATTAATTTTAAGACGCCACGCTTTTATTTCTCTTCATTTTATATTACACAGTTAGGAATTATATATCCTCGTCACAATACCCGTCTATTTCCGATATGTAATAATTTGTTACGTATTCGACAGAAAAAACAAAAATTCTTACAAAAAGTATCCATATATATTTATACTTGTAACTGTATTATCGTATAGAAGCGCAGCTAAGAACTATAATATATATATAAGCCGTCTCTATTCATCGTTATATTTTGATGGAGATAACAATTTTAGGATTCTCCTCAAAGGAGTTTGCCTCACTTTAAAGTGGCAAGCTCCATGCAGTACTATAAAAATTCTGCACTTTAGTTGGATATACATGTACAGTATCTCTGATTAATTTTCCTCTTACGAAAAAAAGTACAAAACTTAGCACAAATGAAAATAATAACGTTGTACATCGTTCTTGGAATGTCAAAATACAATGAAGCTTAACGAAATCGCCTAGTAGGGCGTATTGCAGAAGTACTGTAAAGGACAGGACGGAGAACGAACTTTTATCATTTACACTATATTATAACGTACCGCGTCGACAAAAAATCATAGTAAGAAAGGTAGCAGTTTTAAAGCGAGTGTCCCTGATTTAAAAAATCATTGTTTGTTGGTTTTGTTCGGCAATTCAAAGAAACTTGAGGAACGTTTTTGTCAGTTTTGATATAGTGGACAGTTTCTTTTCGCGTTCAATTCTCGATTCATTTAAATTTGAAGGCGTCAATCTCTATGTACAGTGTTAGGTGACTTTAGGATCTACAATCAACACAATTTATGTTAAAAAAGCTCATTAATTTATAAAGCGAATATGGTGTAGAGTCAATTCAGTAAATTAATTTCAATTTACTAAAGTCCTTGGCCATGTGCCTCGAAACATGGGTAATCCCAAGCTCTTAGGTCACTGTGTGTCTATTTAAACAGTGAAACAAGTAGAGCAGCGAATTTGGCTCTCTGCTTACTTGTCGAAGCTGGCATGCGAATGGTTTGCTGAGGCATTAATTAAATAGCCTTGTTCTGCCATGCGTTTGGCATGTGGGTTAGTTCTTAAAATTTGCAATTTTGACAAAAACAAAAAGCCCTCAGTGAGAAATACTGAAAGTGAACTACTCGTGTTACTTGAAACTAAAGGGTATGCGATTAAAACTTGTACGAGTTACTGTTATAAATCAACTCTCAATCTCGGCGAAATGAACTTCAGCGAAACTCTCTTATTAAATGACAAACTAAGCGTTTGATCACACCGCAGTTATAAATATTCAAAAAAGTGGAAAAATAAATATTTCAGGTGATCTCTCGCTTGTTTCGCTTCGAGCGCAGGCTTGGATGTTAACAGTTGAGGCGACGAACTTTATGTAAACAGTACTATCTTATTGATCACGCTCAAAGAGTAGGTTCAACGGAGATATTTAGAAATTGTTTTGTTCTGTTCCTTGACGTGTCCACTTGTTTTATCGCATTAAGTGAATTACAATCTTTGCATAACAATGACCTAAACAGAATGTAAGTTTGAGACCGAAGATTAGAGCATTGTTGGTTTATATAGGCCGTAGATCTAGTGTCAAATATAACCCGCTCAATCTGGACTGATCTATGACCAACTTCAAGCGCTTCCTTCGAGATAAAATAATTTCTTTATGAAGTTGTTGTTTGTTCGCAACATACGCATGCAAGCAGCGTTGTGCATATATTAGGGAAGGCACTGAAAATTAGGACTGTTTTCGATTTCGCTTCAGCGATTTTAGCAAGCCTCAGCTCAAAGATTTTTTACGCTACAGCATAAAATTGGAAGTTTGTAGCGAGATTTGCTCTGTTACTTTATGTTAATCGAGGTATTGTACCGTTTGTCAGAAGAAAGTCATTATTTTCATTGTAAACTAGAAATTGTCCCTCATTAAACCGCATTTATCACAAGCCCGCGCTCTTTGTAGGAAACGGAAATTTGCTGCTATAAAGAATACAGAAAATTGAACTAGACCAAACTGAATAGGCGTTTTAAAGGCCTATTAAAGTATGGTCCTAATATACCGTCGAACACTAATATACTTTACGCTAACGGAAAAGAATACAAACTAACGAAAACATTCGAGCAAACTTGCACTGCACTCGCGATTATAAATTCATTGAGTAAAAGTGTTACGTACGCTGACAAGATTTGTCGTGAAGTCACTTTGATGATTAAGTCCCTAATTTTATCACTCTATCAGTTTCCCTAAAATTGAAAGGTGTGGCAGAAATAGATAGAAATTTAAAGCAATACCGGGACATAAGCCACTGGCCTGGACAAGTCCTGCTGTGGTTGCCAAACGCCCGATACACGCTGTCCGCTTAGGTCCGCCGTGGAGACTGTATATCCAGTAGATTTGCTCGGCGCTTCACTGCTCGATGCCGTTGGGCTGGGTGATCCACCGGTGACCGAAGCGCCGCGTGTTTCGTCCACGCTAGAAATTCTCTGCTGCATTGGTGAGGGAAGAGCAGATTGGAAAGCTTGACTGCTGTAAAGCGCTCGGTTGTGACTCATGACATCCGCGGCGCGGAACGAATGTGTGGAGTCCAAGGAACCAGCGAAAAGCTGACGCGATGGTTGTGTAACTGAGTGATGACTGTTAACTGCGGTCACATTCGGATAGATGACAGGATACCCTGGTGAAACGGAGTGGTGAAATGCTGCTGCTCCGTTTATTTTGGAATACATTGGGTCGGCGGACAAAGCCGTTGAATGAGCTATTGTTTGAGGCAATTGATTCGTTGAGAATTTATCAACCGCCATCATCGGGGCGCTGTAAGGTGAAAACATCGGAGCCGATAGGTCTTTCTTTTGCAGTGATTTGGGTTTGCGTCGCTTCGGTTTGTACTTATAGTCCGGGTGTTCCTGGATGTGGATTGCCTGTAGTCGTTTCGCTTCGGCCACGAACGGCTCTTTCTCATCTTGCGAGAGCATTTTCCACTCTGCTCCGAGCCGTTTGCTAATTTCTGAGTTGTGCATTCGCGGATTTATCGCCGCGTACTGCTTTCTCTTTCCACGACTCCACACCATAAAAGCGTTCATGGGTCTCTTAATATGTCCTTCTTCTTGCTTGCCCATGCTTGCGGTGTCACTTGCTAATCGGAGTGATGAAAGTTATCTGAAGAGTTGAAGTGAGTTGATCTTCACGCGACGTCGAGTTCAGTCAAACTGCTTTCAAAGGAGCAACCTCGGCCAGTTATTCACTTGGTCGGCCGGCTCAACTGCTACGGTACTGCTCCAGGCGTGATTATGGCTGATGGCTATAATGATATAATAGGACAATGCTAATATTTCATTTCAATAATAATACGAGAAGTAAACAATAGGTGTTAATTATTTGCGTTTGAATTATGCATATTTCCGCTCTCGGCCAATCAACGCGCAGGAAAATTCGGCGGTAAGCCCTTGCGCCGTGCTCTTTCAAGCACGTGCTTTGAGGCAAAATCTTTCGGTTGGCATCCGAGAGTCGCTATTTACAGGCGGACAAGAGCTTTCGCAAAGTGCGAAATACTTATCGCGGGATTAAATCGCGATGAGCGCTGAGTTATTGCAAGTTTCGTTGTGTTTGTTCTCTCATTCAAACTTTCCTCTAATGATAGCACTCGACACCTGCGCGAGCCACGCAGGTGCGCCTTTCAAAGTATTTCAATATAATAATGTTTTCCGCTCAATACCTTCACCCCATCTGCGGCATTCGCTATTGTTCGATTTGCACGTGTTTCATTAGAGGCTTACCTTGCCTTTCTCTGCGTCATTGTCGCTTTTTTTAAAGAGATTTACAAACTTTTCAGCTTTTCTCTATTTAATGGACCCCTAGAATCAATTTGCATAATGAAAGACGCATTGTGCTATCCGTTTCGCGAATAATCGCCACGAACTTCGGATCTTCGAGGTCAATTGGTTTTCTTTCAACGGCACAATAAATATAAAGAGAAAAGAGCTTTTCTAACAGTGGTTTAGTGGTCTTGGTCTTTTGTAATCAGGGATCAAAAAACTAAGAGGGCAAAACATTGGTAAATTTTTCGTCGTTTATTTTTTCGTGTTCGATGTGGGTCGGAAGCTAGCGCACTTTCCTCCTTGATTGCATTAACTCCGAAAAAACACTGATAAATTAGATTCTATCTGATGATAGACCGTAGTATTTGCAGAGTCATTAAGAACTTTGGTTACAGTCGATTTGCACCGCTAGATAAATATTTCTGAATTGAGAATTGGCAAATTTTATTGTGGTCATTGTGATCGCTATTGTCTGGGCCGAAATTTTAAACATATACTTTTCTTTAAGCGTGTCCGCGTCGCAAATAACAGAGAAGTGTTTTTGAATTTCTGTTTATTTCTGCCCAGCGAGACTCCTGCAAACTAAGCGCTGTTCTTCTTTATTTGGGCATTTCCATGGGATTCAAGCACTTTTTGATCACCTTGAAAATTCTGGTGTGAAAACTGTGGGTGTTAGGTTGATTAATAACGGTTCTATTTCCAGTGGACACAAAGTTTATTTGCAAAGAAACGCCACTCGCGTTTGTTTGAATTCGAGCAAATTTCCCTTCTGTTTACATTTCTAATGAGCAGACAAAACCCGGCTTTAATTATGTTATTTACTGCGGACTGTAGTCCAATTGTTACAGCCACAAAAATATAAGGAAAAGGATTTAGCTGTAAACCATTTCTAATTGGGAAAAGTTGAAAATTTCTTCCTCCCCCACTGTTAATTTACCACGAGATAGCGAGAAGTTAGAAGATGAATATTTTACAAAAGGAAGAAAGGCTTACCAAGAGATCGGCTTTTGTTTTCTTTCCTACCCTTTGTTTTAGATGAGTATCGACAACTTCAATTGTCGATTGAACTAGCAGGAAAAGACTTTTCCCACCCGTGATATTTCTTCATAATTAGAAAGCTTACGATAGGGGTTAAACCCAGCGTTCCCTAAAAACGTATAACTTCCAATTAAAAAACGTTGCAATAGCTCGAGGCTAACCATAAAAATTTAAACTCATTGGTTTTCGAATAAGCTACTCCACCGAAAAATACTATATATTACTCTTTATTTATTGTCAGTAATCCTTGAAATACTGTGATACTTTTTTTGCGGATTGTGTAAATAAACTTTGTCCAATGAATTAACAAAAGTCCCTGGATTGAGATCGGTATAAGGCGATCACTTGACAGAAAATAAACATACTCCTGAAACATTGCTTGCGGCGCAGAGATGTAGGTTACATCCCACCTGTCGTGTATTCGAGAAAAGCAATTTAAATTTTAAAATGAATTTTTAAGTCCTAGATCCTGGGCGAGATTATAAGGACCTGCAGACAAATTGAGGAATATTTTCCCTTTTTCTGATAAGGAACGCTCGCGCACTTTATGTTTTCTTTTCTGTGAGTGTTGAACAAAATTGTTTTAAAAATTGTGTTATCACCTAAAAAGAATACTAAAGCATTATTCTTTTTACTTGGCTATGCTCTAAAAACCCGAATAAAGCAATCTTTATTGCCGACGCGATAACTGGAATAGAAAAGAATCGTCCGATAACATTTAGCAGTGAATTTACACTTTCTTGTTTGCAAATACAAAATATTTTAGAATTACAACGATCTAGAGCAATCTTTAAAAATTATCACCTTAATCGCATAGCGGGATACCAGTTATCGCGAGTATTCTGCCGTCCCGTGGCGGCGAAATTCATTCCATCTCTGGCGACCTCCAGTTTTCATAACAACGGACAATGGAAAAGCCGTTGAAATGACTATTGAAAAAAAGGCAGCAGTGAATGTTTACCCCGCACAGAATAGATGTAGAATGAAGCGATTTGTTCGCTAATACGACCTATAGTTTCGTCAATTTGCATTTGTGGCAAGTAAAATTCGCCGTCAGTACAAAGGACATGCTAATAAGCATCGAGAATACAGTAGTTATGAATCGTGGTTTTGACATTAAATTGGTATATTCGTTTGGATTGAAAAGGCTAACATAATAATTCGCGTGGAATAGTTTCGGTAAACAGACTAAACGGCGGAGGCATTGAAATGGCTGTCTCAGAGCACTCGAAGGAAGGAAGTGAATAATATTGCTTTATAAAACCACAAGTGACAAGAAAGAGTGGAAAATGATTATTTTCAAGTAAGTTAGAGTATGGCTTAAAACGTTAGAAATTGCGGAAAGAATGACAGTTAGGAACTTTTTTATTTTAGAATTTTAACGTTCTCCTTTTCGTCCTGCAAAATGTTGAAACGTTAGGCATTCTGGACAACACCTGTTTCGGGAAATATAGGAGTAGAATGAAAGTTTGTTGGTCATTAAGACAAGAAATCACTCTGCTATTCCATTTGTGACTGGCCTTATCTACAACCAATTACTTTCTCTCTCTTGAAAAGCGGAATGTTCTATCAGTATGACCTTGACAAAACCGTTAATAGAAAATCGAAAAATATGTTGACAGGCATAAATTTAACCAGAAAAGTAATGAAATAAATTGCAATTTAACAACGAATTAGTAAAATCTTGGTGATGTGGAAAACGATAAGAAATACCTAGTATTTCTGCCTAGGCGGATAAGTATACATCATTCTTCAGTTTACTTCTTAATGTCAAAATTTTAACGAATCCTAGTTGGCGGTTGATTCAGTCTTGTCGGTAAAACGAAATGATAGGCAAACTCGATATTTTACATGATCGCATAAAGGCAGAAGTATTGTGGCCATTAAAATTTGCGTTAGATTACACATAACACGGAAACTTTTACGGGAACAGCATAAAGTATCTTTTTCATGTTCATAAATAAAACATCTTTTTAACCACCTCATGTTTTCGTTTTCACAGCAAGGGCTGTTTGTGTGTTAAACGAAATGAAAAAGTTTCGCACTGAGTAATAGTTCACTTGAAACTGATATATAAGATTTTTCTGTGGAAAAATATTTTATACGATGGCATTAAATGGTGATTTTTTCATTAGCTCTTACCGGTTATTTTCTACTAGTTTATCCGTGCTAAGACAAGCTGAGTAGTGTAATTTTTACCTTTCCTTCAGCGACTAATTTCGATGGACGTTTTTCGTTTAATGTAGCGGTGCTGTTTGGAATCTTGCGTTCGACGCGTTATTAAAGTGATTAACTTCTCAGTCGGCGCTAAATCGCCTCAAGCTAAAAAAAGGTTTTTTTTTTTCGCGGAGTTATTCTCACGAAACCGGGTTCAGATGACTTCCTTATGACTTGAGAGCTGGACACTTAAAAAAAAGAGGGAAAAGGAAGAAAATTATTTTGAATTGTTCCATCTTCAGAATTTTCTCATAATTGTTTTCCTATGTTTATTTTCTCCGCCTTCTCTTTAGTAAGTCGTGTTAAATATTTGTTTTTTCAATTTCTGCTTCTGCTATGTCTATTTGCGTCTTTTCTAAAGTATTTTGCGTTTTTCCTGCTTGTCAAACTCGAGGAGAATTTAATCGATTTGTTGATTTTCTCACACACAGAGCAGACATTGTACAAATTATTGATAGTTGTTTTCGATATTTTTTGTCTTTTAAGTGGCATAGGGAAAAGTACAGCTTGGTCAAAATGATTTTACGCCGTGTTCCAATGATTTAGTCAATTAATTGTTAATTATGGCCTCCAAGCATTTGTATATTTTTGGTATTTTCCCAGAGGCTATAGTGTATGATCGCGTATCAATCCCTTGGATGTATTATTTCAAGATTTCTTTGTGTAAAGAAAAATACTGGCCACTTCTCTATTGCTGAATTTGCTTTCGGCAAAATCATTAGTAATGAAAAATACTACTTTAACACATATTCTTCATTTTCCATCAGTCGACGTAGTATCAAAAAATTGCTTTAAAAGTCACCTTTAAACATTTTACTGTTCGGAACTGAAAAAGGCTAACGGCCAGCGTACAATTATGCTTCTTGGAAAATTGTTTGTATTCGCTTCGATCTGAAGGAAAGAAGACAGAATGCACGGAACTTTTTGACATGCCATTTTGAATTTTTAGGAATCTTTTAAAAAATGTTTTGTTTTGTGACGCGCTTTAGACTGCGCAGGTTGAGTAAAGTTAGACTAAACCTAAAGCAAGCGCTTACACCAATGCGTTGTTTAGATAAAAACAACCTCTTAAGTGGTTACAAACAAGAGAGGAAAAAATTGACTCCTATTGATAGAAAAATAAAAAAAAAACTACTTTAGCAAATGCTGTACACATTAACGAGTAATTAAAGATAAGACTTTCAGACTAATAATCTGCTTTTTAATTCTGTGTCCACAGCTCATTTTAAGAGCAAAACCATTTAAATGTTCTGCTGATAATTCCGAATTGTAGGAAGTGAGAAAAAAAAGGGGCAAAGTTCAGAGAAAGAAAGAATATCCTTATTATTTTGCTCAATAAGTTTTCGGGAAAGCCGTGTTGTTGTCTAAAGAAAAGAAAGAAAAGTTTTGAGAAGAAAAGATGATTAACATCTCTATTTTTAATGCAAAAACAGACTACTTTTTGAGTCCTAAGCAAACTTATGAATAAATAGTCGCAATTCCGAAAGATGAAATTTTCGTCGCGTTATGAGTACAGATGTGCATGCTTTTCTTGATAAATATTAATGTGGCTCTTTCGATAATTAAAAAAAGCTTAGCAATTTTCATGGTAGCGACGTCTTTCAATGATCTTTTTCCGAACTGGGCCGTTGGTTAGATTCGTTGCATAACTTATCGATATTAAGTATGACCTGCGGCAGGTTTTGATATGAATGTAACCATTAGCTCTGTTATGTTATAATAAGAGGTACTCTACTCTGTAAATTTTTAAGTGGTTGCGACGGCTATTAACTGCTCATAAATGCTTTCTTCAATAATAGGTGAAAAGAGATACGGAAAAGCTTAATATTTTGCTCTCTTTTTTCGCTTCAAAGCGTAGTAAAAAGTGAAATAAAAACATATTTTTGAGAAGTCTCCTCGTGTTCTCGCGACGGATTATGTTATAATGCGTGAGCGTTAATAAAAATTTGAAAAGAAAAAACCAAAATTCTACTTTTTTTCTCTTTCGTTCTAGTGGATCAATTTACGTCCAGATTTAAGGGGGGCTCGAAAGATCTTAAGTTGTGTGGGAAAATATCCAAATGTGAATTCTTTATTTATTTTAAGTGGATTCCTTTCAGTCCCGAAGGTGCTCGAAGATAGTAAAGTTTTATGAAAAACTACTAAAGTGCAACTTATGAAATACCGCAAATCGCCGAATTGTATCATGCAGGAAAGAGCGTTGTTATATGGGCCATGCATATGAAACTTCCCTTTCTGCACTCTCCCCCACCCTCCCCCCCAAAAAGCACAACCAATTTTAAAATTAGTTTCTATAGACCGTCTCCTCTTTTTCCAAATAAAACTAGGGCCATTTACTTTTGTTATGATAACGTAGGGAAACGTAAAAAAGTGTTTTTTGATACCGTAGAGGAAATTGCAGCCACCCGTAAAATCCTCACAAGAAAACTTTCCTGCGTAGAGGAAAATTCAAACAAAAACGTTTCCTTGAAAATAATTTTGGTAGAAAGACCGAAAAAACTCATTTGTTTGATCCTTTGTTTTGATTATCTCCGGTAGATCATCGCCTCTCTTGCAAGAAAATACGCCTTTTGAAATTGATGAAAAAATATGGAAATACAAACACCTCTTTTGTTCCGTGGCTTTTTTCTGGTATTCCACAGGTAAATAAGCACAGACATTTCCCATCAAAGTTTCCGTTATTTTGCCACGTTAAATTACGCATGTTCAGTTGCAAATTTTGCTTTTTCTTTGTATCAGTGAGGGGAAATGAAGCTTTTTCCTCGATGAAAAGTCACACTTTTTCGTCCAGTTTCTTCCGAAATTCGGCACATACAAAGATCGCCCACAAGTAGTTAAGTGTTGTCCATTTTGATATGGTTTGCCTATTTTTTAAAGTGGCTATATGTGAATACATTAAGAATTAAAATGAATTAAATTGACGCAAATTTGCCTTTTTTGAGGTATACGTTTTAGAGAAATCTTCATTTCTCTGAGCTAGATATAAAGTTAATAAAGAATAAAAATGTGTTCCACGAAATCAAAATCTTTGGCATATTAACCCGGGATAATTGTTCCCTCGCCTTTCTTCGCGGAAAATAAAAAATGTCCTTTTCATATGTGAAAAAACGAAGCAAATTTGACTTACAAAGAACATGTTCATATTACTTGCTTAAACATCCAACTCTATTTGAGAATAATTTCCAGTAGAAATTACAGGCAACAAAGAATACTGCATTTACAATTAGCAATACATGTGATCGTACGTGTTCCGAGAGATAGCCATAGTGTAGTGTAAACCAGTGTTATGGAGGGTATACGAATTTGAATTCCCCAGAAATATTTTGCCATTTTTTCTTTAGGATATGACATAGTTTTTGTTCATTTTCCGATTAGGATCATTTCGGTTTGTTCTCGTATATATCCTTTTTACGTGTTAAAAAACATTCGGTTCAAATATAAAGCAAAAGCTATGCAAGAATTAAGAGGCGATAATTATGAGAAAGAAATACGTTTTCTTAAACAATTATTTGCTCAGATGTCTGAACATAGGAAAAAATATTCTTAAGCAAGAAACCAGAAGCCTGTATCTTAGGATAATCCTCTTCTAATGCTGTAAATAATGCAATCTTTTTCCATGAGCAACGAGTATATTTTAGATTAGCGAGAAAATGATTGATCTTTTGCAACGGGATGATCTATAACTTTCCAAGTATTTTACCATCTTGAATGAAAAGTATATGTGGTAAATATCTCTAATCAGTAAATGTACACTTTTCATTTTATATCCCCTCTGGGAAAGTTCCCGCCTTTTAATGTTATGTCATCATGTGCCGATACTCTGTCAATTCAGCTGTAAATTATTAAGAAGTAAACGAAGGGAATACGTATTTTTAAAGTGTCTTTTTTCCCCAAGGCTGTTGGCATTATTAAAAAAGAAACGCTAATTGAAGACCGACGAGAAGAAATAATGTCACTGAGATCGAACTAGGTTTCTGACATCAATCGCTGTGAAATTTCAAGCAAATTACATGGAGGAAAAGTAAATCATGAAAAATGAGTCTTCTCAAACTGAGCCCAAAATAAAATCAATGTGAATATATTTGATTCTTTTTGGGTTTTGTATCTGTGAAGACCAATAAGAAGAAATAATGTTATCATACTATGTTGCTAACATCTATCATTATGACATTGCAACGGAAAAAAAAAGATCATGAAAGAATGGTCTTAGGACTAACTGTGAATATATTTGATTCAGCGTTCTTTTTTGATTCATGTTCAAATTTTTCCATTTTTCTTTTTGTGCGTGTGGGGATGTTTTCAGTGCTATTTCTTTTGGTAGCTACAGTTTTGGTGTTTTGAAAAAGCTTGGAATGATCTTCCCATAAAATCCAAAGTATGTTCATTCAAAGAAACAGCTACTGACCAGTACTCTCGGCCCATTAAAGGCAATATTTTTAGTGCTGTACAAAACTGTTTTAACTTTTGATTCTGTGAGTGAAATCTCTAAATGTTACCGGCATTGATGTGAATCATGTCACCTAAATAGTCGATGGTGAATTCTCTCCTCTATTTCTCCCGAGGAAATAAATGTCATGTCCAAGATTCACGAAATCCCTCTCTTACTATATTTTTTATTTATTTATTTATTTGTTTTACACTTGCCTGCCTGCAAATGCAAAACTGGTCAACGTGCAAAAATTCTACTTTACTGCCCGCCATTTTAGGCTATGTTCGCATTATACCGGATTGCTTTTGCGCACGCACGAAAACCATACCGGATATTGCTTCTGTTCACAAAAGAACGGTGATTTCGGCGCGATTTCTGTAACGAAGCGAAGCTGTGCCGCGTCGATCTTTAAAGTGGAGAGTCACATATCGAATAGATGTTCATACCATACCTAGTAGCTTTTCGCGTCGTTACGAAAAACTATCTAGTATAGTGTAAACATAGCAACAGAGATTGTTTTCTTGTTTTTGCTTTTCTTTTCTTATTTTTGTTTGTGGTAACCAAGACAACATGCCTTTTTTATCAAAGGACGTAATTGCCTCATTACTTTGATTAATTATCACTCCATTTTAAGAGACATGATCCACAAGAGTCAAAACAGCTTTAAATTATATAAATTATTGGCGAGTAAACAAGCCGATTGGGTCTAAGATCAAGAATTTGAATGTAATTTTCGTAATGATAGACAGCTGTCACTCAAACGCCCATCTGGCGTGAATGCCTGTTTCAATGGTCGCGTGTTGTTGGAGCACGTGGCGTGTTAAGTCACCATCAAAACAATCTTTGCGTGCTTAATTCCTAAGTAATTTCATATTAAGCAATATTTCTTAAACGCTTGTGTTTTTGATAAAGTTCTTATTGTTGTAAAGAGGTTTTCTTTTTATATTACTTCTGAGTTTGGTGTGGAAACCGGATTAAAAGTATCACTTTATTATGATGTACAAAATTAATCTAACATTTGACTGTTTTAGTGAATTGAATCCCTATACATGAATGTTTGAATAGAAACTACTGGTTTTAATTTTAGCGATAATATGTTATTTGAGGTTTTGAGCATGGCAAACTTTGAGTGATACATACACGCACCTGTGTCAAAAAATAGCGAGATCTCAGGTTGAAAATGTGCTGAACTAGGTAACAGTTTTGTACAAAAAGGAAACATTCCCTTGTGGTGTCGAATTTCATCATCTTTTTCTGCGAATTATTACGGTGATATGTAAAAACATCGTTTTGTTTCCTCAATAAATAAAGACGTAAGATGGCCTGTAATGTTAACCATCACACATTCACAACAGCAAACAGAAAATAATAACCGCGGTAATAATTTAAGTTTGATATTTCACTCCGCTGGTGTATTATAATTACGCTATGAAAGGTTGCCGAACATACAGTAAAACAACGCAAAACGACGTTTATTTACAGGCACTTGCAGCTCCCATGCGAGCAGAGGCTACATTTTCAGCGCGATGTGAACTGTGGTACCAAAAGCAGGTTGTTTCGCACGCCAGTTCACGCCTCCGCTCGTAGGCGGGTATCTCCATGCATACTCCTTTTGTCCGCTTTTGTTCTTGTTCGTTATTTTCTTGACAATCTCTTTACCTGTGCTTTACTTCTTAACTGGGAAAATGAATGTATCGGATAAGCTATTCATTAGCCCGCATGGCAGGCATTTGAAGGTTTGGGAAAGGAGAAATTCAGTACGCGCGAGAAGCGATGGTCGTGCGCGTTTTTGCGCAGTTTAATTTCGTCTTTCCTTTCCTTAAATCCTGCCGCGGAGGGTAGGCTGTTCCAAAAGTTTGATGTTTATGTTCATGGACTCCTGTTATGTTTTAATAGCAGCGACCATGGACCTTTTGCTCAGTAATAATCATATACGAGTTCGATTGTTTTTAGGTTACAATGTTGCCAACTGAACTGAAAGAAAAGACAGTAAAGCCTTTAAATCGTTCGCTTTTGAGTGGTGAGAAGAATGTATAAATTCTCAGTATGGTGGGGCTTTAGTTAGCCTAATCTATTTTATTTATTCAATAGTTTTCTATAATAGGCTTGTTAAAGTTTTCTCTGCCACTGGAATGCTGGCCGTTGAGGAATTGTCACGGTTTTATCAGTTTTGCAAAGCCTCTCTCATTGGAAGCTGGCCCTTTGTCATCAGTTAAGATTTATTATTATTAAATATTGTTAAAATTACGAACAAAACAGGCTTGAAGATTACCAAGATTATTGCTTAAAACACCGTACTGGTGTATTTGCAGTAGGAAAAGTTGAACGGAAAAATCAGATTATCATTTACTAGAGCACGCAAGAAAATAGAATGTAGAGAACTGTTAAAGGACACCTTTTCCGTAATTTGATAACTACATTTTTATTTCATTTCTGTAATTTTAACTTTTTGTGAATCAAAATAGCTGATTAATACCCTTAATCTCGTTTCAAAGCATAAATGAATAAGAGAAGTAAGTCTTTAGCAAGCCTCCTTGTTGACCTCTGTCAGTCCGTAGCCCCGCGTGGCCTGCTGAATTCCTTTTTATTTTTTTTTCACCTTTTAAAAAAACGTTTTGTATTTATTAACAATCTGTACGTAGCGGGAAGTTAAATACACAGGAAGTTAAACGGCCTGTAAACAGCTGTCACAGATCACGATATCGCATTCGCCTTGTTTAAACAACATAAACCGCACAACGTGTTCCTCCTGCCCGGTTCTTTTGTTTCACGTTGTCGTGTCACTTAAACACTTAAATAGCTTAAGGGCCACCTTTAGTAGGAGGTATCTAATATCAAAATTAAAGCCTTTACTGTCTTTGCCGCATCCATCCATACTCGCGCAGTCCGTCATTAAACACGCGTCTTACTGCCGGTTTGACGGCGTAAGCTAGGGTGCAAACAAACTGCGTGCGTGATATTTCAAGCGACTTTCACTTGACACTGGATTTCTGAAATCCTTAACTTTTCCAATCCGAAGTAAGAACCAAGATTTAGTGGTTAGAAAACTCTAAATGTATAATTTTCAACTAAAGCAAATTAAAGGGCAGCAATCACTGATTTACCCTCCCCCTCCCTAGCCCATGGTAAAATAACAGGCCTGCTGTATTAATATGTGAACACAAGGTCAATTTGTTATTAAGTTCATTGTCTGACGAACGACAGGGAAGAAAGTTACGAGTTCAGTCTGTGGGGATTTCTAAAGACATTAGCTTGTCTTTGTCTGGGTAGAACACTTCATTATCCATGAATGTGTGAAAGCCGTGTTTGTATTGTAGTTAACAAAGACTCGCGAAGACATCATTTATAATATGATCTGTCACAGAGGAGTGGAAGATCGTGTTGGTTTTGTTAAGAAAGCTTTGGTTACGGAACTTTTTTAAATGAACTCTTTTGTACAGGTATGAACGAGCCTTTGTTTTTCAGTTTGTTTATGAGTGACGTAAAGAAAACTATCGCTTTTTTATAAGAAGAACAAAGGAACATGTGTGAGGCGCGAAACACGGAAAGGAGAAAAGCGGAAAGATGACCACATTTTGATCAAAACAATTTCACGAGGAGCGCTTGGTTGAAAACCTCAAACCTCTTGTGATTTACATACTGAGTGTTAATAATTCTACCATCTAATCAGTTGACGTGATAAGTAATATGACGTTGTAAAAATGAAATCATAAGGCAAAAAAGCATTTATCACTGTAAACTTTGCAATGAAAACTGTAAGGGCCAGTTGATTGAACGGAGTTTAGCCCGTGTTTAACAAAATCGCGTTTTAAGCCATTTTCAGTTTGCCAGGAGTTCAATAAAGCATATAGCGTAGACTGGGGAAGCACTTATTTCCTGAAGTCAAACCTCTAAGAAAGAGATTGGAGGTCCAATGATTTCGTACTAAAAAAAACCACTGCGTAAGAGACAGGCTTCGTTTGAATAACCAACCTTAACTCTAACCAGGCGGTCAGTAGCTTTAAGCATGAAGTAAGCTGCAGAAGGTAATCAACGCGAATAAAGTTTTCAACTCGTGAAGCGTCAGTTGACGCCTGTGTGTACAATCAAAGTTCTCACGTCCGTAAAAAGGCATGGTTATTTTCGTTTCAGAGTGCGATCTCGGAGATGCATGGTTTTAATATCCCCAAGCTTGATCATTCAAATGAAATCCAGTGGCCAATGTCTTCTGTAATCAGACTGTTCATGTTGTATATTAAAGGTGTTTCTAGAGTGGATAAACGTCCGCAGTACCGCTTTTTACTATGTACTTCTTATAGACGTGAATGATGGTCATTAAAAGTTAATGTACGGTGGTTTGAAGCCTGGTTTTCACTAGCTAGCTACGACGGATGTTCAACGCAGCCTGAAGCAAAAGTCAGCCGTTCATGTTTTATCACCGAAGTATAAACGAACACCATCGGAAGCGCATGCAAACTTTGCGGAACATTAGAGCAAGAGCATAATATTGATGTTTGCATGCAGGCCGTTTACACAAGAACTCATATCCTTACGCTTGTATCGCAAGTGAAAACCATGAAACACCCGCCAGTCTGCCTTCACGGCCTGCGTGGCAGAAGATAAAGTGCTTGATTTCCCCTATCAGCCTTCCAAAGCGGAAGGTTAAATCTTTATTGCCTTAACTTAACATTGCCGCCACGCATTTTTGCTATTGCTGGGAAAGCTAAACCAAAAGAATGGCTGCTAGCACGTGTTTTCTTTCCCGCGCTACCCGCTAGATACAATGAAGCATTTGCCTGGAGTTCTGATTGGTTCATCCGATTGCCTGCGCCGTTTCATTCAGTTTTCACTTGCTGGCTTGATTCTTGTTGAATTGAATGGGAATGGTTTTGCCTTTGTACAATGATAACCTGTCTCTTCAGGCGTTTGTTCGAGTTTTTGGTCTCTCGCTTTCTCTTTCCGTTTGTCTTTCAAGGGTAAAAAAAAATCGCCTGTTTTGCACTCTCCAGTGGGGAAAAAAGGTTCCATGTTACACATTTACGTCTTTCTGGCCCTTATCGTGAAGTTACGCAACAGGACGGGAGAGTAAAGAAGACGGCAAACCTTGTGTGACAAGCGTGACAATAAAGGTTCCAAATACTTTATCGCCGAACTTCACCTTCCTTAAGCAGATCGTTTTGTAAAATATTCATGTTAAGTGAAAAATCACGACAGAATACGCAAGTGATGGCCGTGTCACGTTTGTCACCCACAAACGTTTTGCCATCCTCTTCTTTCAGCCGTCCTGTTGCGTAAACTCACTAATAAGTTCATATGTCGAGCGCATTTGTTTTTTCCTAGTGAATACCGAAGGAGTGTCTGCCCCAAATAAGCGCCTCACTCAGAGTAAACGAGCGCCACTCCCTCCTACACTACACTACGCATTACGGTAATGCAGCTCTAATAAGGTTTATTGTTATTTTGACAATTGTTCATGTTAATGGTATGAATAACTGGAATAGGATTCAGACCTTTAAAACTTACTTTCGCCACTTTCTTACCTGTTGTTATCGCTCTTTTGCAAAACAACGTAAAAGGAAGGAAGATTTCTTGACGAAGAACTGAGTTATTCACAAACAAACCGTTTTGAATGAGCGCCACACCCACAAGTCGAACAATACGCGCTGCGGCTGTTATTCGAGTAAATAGGATTGTTAGTTGTCTGCTTTGTTCATGCATCAGGGTTCATCGAGCAGGCTACAATAAGGCTGTGTTTTAAGCCCAAAGAAAATTAAGAGTTCAGGCCTGCGTTATGACAAAGCACTTATTAACCGGGCGTCAAAAGGGATATAGGACGCTCTAGTGAATGTGAAGGGCTGTTCAGCGCTTACAGGAGCCGGCTTCTATTGAAGTTTTTTCATGAGCGAGACATTACGCAAAAGGCTCTTATAAAGACAAAAGAGTGCCCTGTTTGATCACGTATAATGGTAATTAATTTATTCTTGACAGACCTCATGTCGTTATGAACACTTATCCACTCGAGTTTCTAGGTACTTATGTAAAACCAACTTTAGCGGAATCTTCTCGAACTCTGTTTCAAACTTTTACGTTACTCGACCGCAGTTGCGTCATCGGCTTCGTATATTAAAAAAATAACTTGTTTCTGCTTTCGAGTCTAAATGAAATTTCAAGTTAATGAAAAAGTAATAATAATACGCTGATGGTTATGCTTCACGAATTCACAGTTTTACCTACAGTGTTAGGATGGATCATTGATTCCAAAAACCAGTGACTGATCTGAGACACTGAGCTCCTGAGCTGTACTCCTTGAAAAGGATAACTTTGTTTTTGTTTCTTTAATTCTTCGGAGGTACTGCATTATTCGGGAAGAACATTTAAAGATAGTCTCTGTGCGGTGCTTTTGTATGTGTGGTTATTATGCTGTGCAAGGTAGACACAACTTCAGTCTTGTAGACGGGGTTCTAAAGTGTCATTGGGGCTTGAAATAAAAGCTATACCGATCAGGGGCTGCACTTTCGCGCGGTGAATGCGTTTAATATGCTTACAAAGCGGTTATAACTTTTCATTCTGTGCCTATTATCGTAAAGTGTGATCATTCATTGAAATAAAAGCCATTGAGCAGTACTTTATGGTGGCGATACTTATTATGCCGACACAAAGGAGATCTAATTATTGACTTCAAACATGGCAGTCCTTAAGTGTGACAATCCTGGAATAAGCTTTACCAGTTTGTAGTACTTTCCTGTGGTTCAGTTTTAGTTTGTTGTACAAGTTGACTAAGATACCATTATCTGTAGATCCTCAGGTCTTATGGTGCAATTAGAAAAAGAAACCTCTCGACTAAGTGTGACTATTCACATGAAATGTCTTCAACCGCGCCTTTCTACATGTGTAATCGTGAGTCTACACAGCTCGTCTAACTTCTGAGTGATACAACATCGAAGCGTGTCATCATGTTAGTGATCATCCAAGTTGCATAAAAGTAATTTTTTTTTGAGGGAGAAACTGTTTGACTGTCTCTTTTATCTCTGGCTTTAAAACTTCAGGAAACTTTGAACGTGACCTTGATAAAGCGCTTCCGAGATCGCGTAGCTGCTGTTGTTATCTTTAGTTGCCGGATAGTTGAAATATCAATTGTTCTATTGTTGTAACACGTTTCGTTAAAGTAAAACCGAGTTACTTTTGAGAACTTTCGAACTGAGCTGCGCTCACAATATCACCCAGCTCAGTCGTGACATTCGCTTTCCTCGATTTCACCTTCTCAAACGCACCTCGAAGATATCGGAACAAAAATTCTATACGAAGGTGTTTCAACTTGGAAATAACTTATAGTCAGGGTAGTATTAAAGAGAATGTCTTACCTTTATCGAATGGATGGAACGTTCTTTGTTTCGAGGCTTTTTTACTTCAGTGACGCGTGATGATTTGTGAATGACTTTGTTTTGATGATATACAGCTCGTATTGTTTCGACCGTTTTGGTTTGTAACAATGCTCCGCTTTCAAAACCAGTGAGCCGCAAAACCAAAGGCGCCTATCCCAGTTCACCGGTACAATATAAAATTCTCATTTTAGCAACACTTGATTCGTCATTCGCGACTGCGCTGCTTTTTTGTGTTCAACTTCCTCTGTTTCGTTTTTCGTTTTGTCTAGCTGTTCAAATAAACTCAACTTTCAGAAAGTACTTTATTTTCGTACAGTTATGATTGACTAACTTCTGGTCTTGCGGACCCTATGCAATATAAAATCCTAATTTGAGATCGTTTCAATTAGTGCTAACTTAAGGAGAAAATTAAGGAACAGTTGGTCGTTGTCTAGTTTTGATTTGCTTATAATAAAAGGCGTTACGAAAAAAAAACCTATGATACCGAAACGGACAAAACGGTCCAATGAATCGCTGTAAATGAAAGTGTTATCGAATAGTAGTTTTATTCATGTAACTGCTGTTTGCTACAAAAAAATTGCACGTGTCCTGGACCAGTTCTTGGGACTAAAACAGAAGTTTAAAAAATGATTTTTGGTACGCCTCTGTGATTAATTAAGCAGTTTGGAGATACAAACTCTGAAATTGTCGCGTGTAAGAGAGCGTGTTTCAAGGATGAAAAATCAATATCGTGTGCTAGGCCGCTTAATATGCGGATATACTTTGGTCGCATATTAGATACTACTCTTTTTTAAAAATGAAAATTATTATAATTAGTCCACAAAGGGTAAGAAAAACAAGTGGTAAAGAAATAACATTAATAATAAGAAAAAAAATCAAATTTAAGCGTTGAAAACGATGAAATTGTTTCACAAAAGCGATCTTGTGTGTTTCCTCTTCCGAAGCCGAAAGAAGCGTGAAACAATATCATGAAGGTCATTCAGGTACATTGATGTCACAGTGGTTTTCTTTTCGTGTATGTTTTGACCATAGTGGGGATCCAGAGAATTCCATGAGAGTAGAAATATTAGGAAGTACCGAAAATCCTCTATTAAGCCCCCCTTATTTGGGGCTTATTTATTTCAAACACATTTGAGGGGGTGCTTAATAGAGACGGAGGGCTTATTTGAGAGAGGCCGGGGGCTTATTTAATTTACAAAGTGGAAAAGCTCAAGTACAAGAAGTTGAAGGCCATTGCAGCCGAGGATCAAAAAATAAACAAACCTCGAGTTGGTAACAAGAAGTTTCAATTATTAGTGAAGGGGAGGGAAGGGGAGGGGAGAGTGAGGTTTAAAAGAGAGGGCATCTTATCACTTCCTTCCCCTGAAAAGGGGGGGCTTATTAGAGAGAGGGGGCGTATATGGGAGGGGGCTTAATAGAGGATTTACCGGGTAGTTAATTTAAAAGAGCACAACATTCGTCACGCAGTCTTGCCGAAAGTCAACGCCCATTTTTAGCAAGCCTTTTTTAATCTTTGTATTTCAAGGATATTGTATGGTTAGATGGCTTGTTTACTTAGACGGATTTGAAACGCAATGTGTTCTTTCACGGTTAGTTCAATCAGGTATGTGATTCCCCCTTTAATTGGCATGTACACACACTTAACGCATGCTCTTAATAATTATCCGCTTATGCTCTTAATAATTAAGCGAACAGCCATGGAAACTGCCCTCCTGTCGCCGCCATAACGGGAAGACCCTGGGGTCGAGGTTGACTGCCGAGAAATTAAGATGGAATCCACCAGGAAATTGAGTAATTTTAATTTTCAGTGGACAAAAACCTTGTACCAGAATAATTTAAAGAATATTGCATTCTTTTTTACATTTTCAAGGGCTAAATATGTAATAAGTCGTCTGTAAAAACACCAAAGAAAATTTCTCATGGGAACCCGAGAAAATGAATGTCAAATTTCACAAATTACATCTTACCCTTGAACTTTTCAGAATTTTACCTGTGCTTTCACAATTCTTGTGAAATTTGTCATTCATTTTCTTGAGAATTAAAATTACTCAACTTCCTGGTGGATTCCATCTGAAATTTGAAGTAGGCGCAAAGACCAAGGGAAGGCTCAACCTTCCCCGAAGTCTCTGCGCCTTCGAAAACTGTAAAAGACATGTAAGGGCAACACGGTGATACGAGTTGTTAGAAGGGGTTCAGTGGACAAACCTTTTTTTCCGCATATAGAGAGCCGCATATTAAAAGTTTGAGGTATGGAAAGAGGGAAAAGCAATAGACCTTTGTCACGCGGCGGCCATTTTGTCTCAGCAGATTTAAAAAGCTTTGTTTATGTACAGCTAGCCTCGTTCTCAGAAGAAAAATCCCTGAGATAAAATGGCCTCCGCGTGACAAAGGTCTAGGGTAAAGGCAGGTACAAAATAAGATCGAGCTAAGGAAGGTTTTGTGAGCCCGCGAGACTGAGCAGCCTCCACAAAACCTTGTTTTCAGTAAAACAGCTGGACACAAAACCTCCCCTAGGTCGATGTTACATTGTCACAACCGAGGGTAAAAAGCGAAGCATCGCTATTTTTAGCCCCGGGATACTCCCTGAAGTTGCGTGGGTACCAGACTCGTACCCGGTCGCTTATTTCTATTCGCGCTGTGACAAATGGGAAGGATTTAGTGAGTTCGCAATGCACTAAGGGAAGAAAGGAAGAAAAATGAGAAGTCATCTTTTCTTCTTTCTTCCTAAGCGCCTTTGCACGAGTTAATTTTCCTTTCCATAGTCCTTTGCGGGAATAATTATAAATTAATGGCAACTGGATACCAGTATGGGTACACAACCCTGGGTACCAGGCGTGATATTTCGGGACAAGACCAAAAGGGACAACAGCGCATGAAAAGGCTCTAGCACCCTCCCAGAGTACAATATCACTGGCGGCTAAAATTTATTATTATTATTATTATTCAATGAGTTGATAATGTTAACTGTTCCACCGTAAAAAGATTCAAAAGCTAGAGTTTCGAACGCCCTTCCTCTGAGCGAAGCAAAGGATTGTGGGTGGGATGGGGTTCATATATTGAATAGTAAACACGTTAAAATCAAGAAAGAATGAATTAGTTGAATGAAACGGCGATCAATGATTTTATGGGTATTTAAAGTTCAAATTGGAAAGGTGATTTTTTTTTATCGGAATTGATAAAACCAAATTGTGGTACCAAAGTTATCTTCCCTATCACAGTCTAGTTATTAACGAGAAACTCTTACTTATTTTTTATATCACTTATCGCTTTCATATAAATGAAAACCGTTTTAGGCTATTCTAGATAAACATACCTGTTATCCTATCTCAGACTTAACCTTTTCTGGATCATTATACGCTTCGTGCCTACCTACCCCTCCCCCAAGCCAAAATTTTAAAGCACCTACTTCTCGCTTAGGGCAAAATCTTGGCTTACGGGAGGGGTAGGTGGGCAGTTTCCCAGAAACCTCAGGTGATCCCAACGTACTTCAATGTATCCCAGACTTAGCCTTTTCCAGGTGTTCAGATTGTAGGGAAGGCGCGAAGAGATATGACAAGGAAAAACAGTGAGGGGTGGGGTAGGGGGTTAGAGCGAAGGAACGCCTGTAGTACTTTTTAACAAAAGCTAGTTCCAGTATACCAGGTTCTGGTATAGCCTGATTGGTTTATTTTGACAGCTCCTGTCAACACTCGAAGGTCTATTACCTTGATCTGAAATGTGTTACCTCCTTTCTCCCCCCGGGGGGATACGCCCAGGAATTAGGGAGCTTAAGCAAAGGCGTTTTTGAGCGACGGACGTCAACCGGAAGTGAGGTTTTTTCCCTCTTAACATGCCTTGTTGATATAAAATTTGTATTCCTTAGCTTCTTTACTGTTATAGAGGCGATTTGACTGAAAATTTGCGCGAAACCACCGTCAAAAAATCAAAAAAGGCCACTTCCGGTTGACGTGCGTCGCTCAAAAACGTTGTTGCTTAAGCTCCCTATTATTGAAGGAGCGTACCGCCTTCTTCAAATCCTGACCCTATTACAGACCAAAATCAGACCTGGTCTCTAAGAAATTACAGTGAAACTTCTATTAAGCGGACACTAAGGCGGGTCCCGAAATTAACGTCTTATATTTCCCTTTATAATGAACCCCTATTCAGCGGACACCTGTATTAGGCGGACGTGGACACTAAAATAAATTGTATTTGACTAATTTCTATTGTCAAAAACCTCTATTAAGCGGACACAGGACTGAATTGACAATAGTAGTATTGGATAACGTTCTTGAAATATGTACTGTAGTCGGTTAATGCTTTTGCATTTACAAACAAATTAAAGTTAGTAATGAAAGGTAATGAACTTGAACTCTGGATAGCTTCCTTAACTTGATATGGAACTTTATCACAGTGCTAAGTAACCGTTGAATGTTAATCGTTAACAAATATTGTGCAATTTTTACAAGCCCCTATTGAGCGTACATCCTCTACTGATTAAGCGGATACTTGGGAAGGCTCCGAAGGTGTCCGCTTAATAGAGGTTTCACTGTATTTCTTCATTATTTAGATTAGAACAGGCACAAAAAAGATTTCTTAAAATCCATTTCGAATTCGCATATTTCTCTTTCTTTCTTCTCATTTGGAATTGAAACGATGAATACGTTTATACACTCCCGTAGTTCCCTCAAAAACCAAAACCCTTCCAGACCAAAATAGGGGAAGTCTATACCCGTTTTCAGACCAAAACGGCGCAAAAACATTACCCTTTGGGGCGGCACATACATACATGGCTTTTATAAGGGAGTACCCCCCGGGGCTTTCTCCCTCTCTCTCATAGTCTTCCACCTTAATTTTTTCCGGTTCTCTAACTTCGCGCCGCGCCCTAGTATCTGAGCGTCTCGGGAACAGGCTCTTCTTGACTAAACCTTCCAACAGATCTCTTTGTTTTATGTCTCCTAAGCCAGGGAAAAGCGCCCTGGGGACGAGGATAGCTCTGATCTTTTAGACTTAAGCGTACGTACACAACCGAGTGTTGAGTGGCATTTTGATGATCTACCTGACTAAAAGA